TTTCCCTGTTTTTACCGGAGTCAATTGCTGAGAATCCGGAATTGTCTAGCCTGGCATTTCTTTCTATTGACGAGGCAGTTAATTGATACCAGTTCCGTATTGTTCTTTTTTTTGTTCCCATCAGTTCCCTGCTCATACTCTTATCTCTACGGTTCGTCGCTTACTGGCCACACTTCGTATCAACCCATAGCTCCTGTGGTGCTGATGATATCAGTAGATCTATATAAAAACCTGGGCATGCTCTATAACCGTCGTCCCATCAACTATTTGGTACTCTGTTCAACCTCAATGGATATTTACATGGTCTAGATGATGTCTTGACTAAAGCAGAGATGCCATGGACTGCGTTCGATTATGTTCGGCTAGATAACTCCCCATAATCCAAAAAATTACCATTTTGCAACGTCCCAGGATCCCAAGCGCGTCATAAAGAACCATGACCACTTGCAGAATTGAAGCCTGAGGCTTTCCTCTCCCTCTGTGTTCTGCAAAAAATTGAAAGCAACTGTCCCCGCAGGAACGGTGTCGAAGTCCAAGACCCGACTTTTTTTTGGTGTTTGTTGTTTTCTCATTGTTGTAAGGCGCACTCATTAGGAAAAAAGAAAAAGAAAGGTTCACGGCAGATTTGATGCATGAGTATGGTAAGACACTCATGAAGTTTGTATGAATGCGATCCTCAGATCAAACTGGGAGCTGGAGCGGCACGACCATTGGCCTTGCTTTCGGTACCAACGTTCAAGTCCGCAAAGGTCATGAGATCAACGGAAGGGGCTAGAGTCACAGCAGCCTGAACCTTGGGCTTGGTGTTGGTCTTGATAGCGGGACTAACGGCAGGCTTAACAGCGGGCTTGGAAGTGGGCTGGACCTTGGGCTGGGTGCTGGTCTTCTCGGCGAGACTAGGAATAGGCCTGAGTGTGCCAATCTTAGCAGTGGCATAGGCAGCAGGATTAAAAGCGGGAGCACCAGGCTTGAGAGCGGAACTGGCAGCAGGCTTCAGGGTGGGAGCACCAGGCTTAAACGCGGTAGCAGCAGGCTTGACAACGGGCTGAACGGTAGGCTGAACAGTGTACTGGACACTCTGCAAGATATTGGGCTGGGTGTTGGTATTCACAGCCGGAGCGGGAATAATAGAAGGCATGAAGGCGGAATAGACGGTGGACAGGGGAGTGGGCTTGACACCAGCAGAAGCACCGTTCATAAGCTGGACCTCACCCGCAGCCTTCTCACCCTCAGACTCGACCTCAGGAGACTCGTCATCAACATGCTTGCCCTTAGCAGCATTAATCTCCAAAGCCTTAGCCTGAAGCTGCAAGAAAGCACCACTGAGAGGCTTGGGGTGCTGCTCGGGAATCTGGAAGAGAACACTGTTCACCTGGCGGCAGTTGTCGCGGATATGCAGGGTATCAGTCTTCTTTCCGTCAACTTTGAAGTCACAAATGAGGAGTCGAGCTCCAGCAGGCTGGTCACGGTGGTATTCATAGAGCCTCATGGTCATCCCCTGGAAGAGGATGGCCCAGCAACGCTCATTGGGAAGAGGAGCTACCGCGAGAGGAGTGATGGGCAAATCCCAGTCCTCAGAGACGTGCTCAGCGGTAGAGACGACCTTGACTATGGCGTGGAGAATCTTCTTGCCACCATCCAACTGCATGGCAAAGTAGTAGGAGCCGTCACCGGTAGGGTCAGGCTTGTAGTTCATCGCCCACTTGGCTTCCGAGTCAAAAGCGTAAACCAGCAAGGCAGACACCATGACCTCCATGGTTTCGTGGGTGGGATTCTGCTCGAATTCCGAGATGAACCTCTCCATATGGAGGTTCGAGAGGTAAGTCTGTGCCATCTTTGCTGTGACACTGATGGATGATGTGAGGGTTTGAAACTGGGTACGAGAGTGTGAGTGATGAAGAAGACAGAAGGTGTGGATGGATGCAAGAAGGAAATAAATATTCAAGAGGAAGTCGGAAGAAGTAAAAGAAGGTCAGCTGCTCTTGCATTTGCAAAACCAGAGCAAGTGAGCCAAGAACTGAATGGGATATCGATCTTACAGATATGCTTCGTTCGAGATGCGACGCAGACAAGAGAGTTAGTCAAAGGGTTGAAGCGTGTTGAAGGAAGAAAGGTGATGCTTGAGAAAGCAAGCAGTTGAAATACGAAAATGGCAAATGCCGTTTGCTATGGGTGGGCAAAGTGATGAGAGCAAGTGAGATGAGCGATAATCGTAAGATGCTTGATAGAAATATCTCTGGTCATGGCTGATCTTGGGGTCACTTAATTAACATGGGCATAGATTAAAGTAAAGATTAATCTGCATAGTCAGGAAGACCTGTAGAAAAGAATTAGATATCCCCGTTGTTCACGATCTGATCTCCGGACTATATAGATCGACAGATCTGGGATAGAACTGCCGAGAACAACGCTAGCAATGCTCAACTCGACACAAACAATTTGAGTGCTTTGATTAGCACCGATGCAAGAGCAGGATCTAATTGTAGGAATGTGAAGCTACGAGATTGCATGCTCCAGTCCATGGATGTTCATCTCGGGGTCTTAGGCCCTTCTTACCTCTACGCGCCTACTTATATAACCCTCGAAACTCTAGTATTTTGAAATGGCGAATAATTCCCTTATATGCGACGATCACATCCATAAATGATGTTCAATTGCCGACCCCTGACGCTGCCAGTGCGACGATCGGCTCTCCACAACTTCAGATGCAACCCCCGCATTGACAATCCGGAGAAATTATCATATAACCGAGATTTAGGTAGATAATACTCCAATGGCCTGTCTTGAAGTCGGCATGTCCCGCCGCAAACATTATGCCTGTCGCCAAGCGGCAATTGAAGAACCAAATTCAATAACCTTCTGACGGTTGAGGATATACAGTATATATACCCCTCAAAACACCATCCGTTTTTTTGGTTTACAGGAAGTTCAAGAGGCGAAACTTGTTTACAGAATAGGATACACTTTGCATTGGCGGTATATCACCTATACCACAGGGCTATGTTTCTTGATCTACTTTTAGGAGCCACCATTGTGGCGGCAGTGCCCACAAATGTTGAGCGAGATGCTTCACCCATTATTGCTGTTAGTGGACGTGTTCCTCAAACAGCTGGAGCTGCCATCTTGAATCCATTCGTATCATTCTCGATCGAATTCTCTTCTTTCCCCGACTTCGCTGGCAACTCCTCCCTGCCGAACAAGTTCTCAAAGAGCCTGCTCGACAATCTTGGTAAGCTCCAAGGTGGAAAGCCACATATTCGCGTTGGTGGAAACACTCAGTATGTGATCCGAGACATAGATATCGCCATTGTTAACATCATCGCAGGGACCTTGCCTTGTACGATCCGGATCTGAAAACAGGAATCCAAGGAACATATGTCCCAGCTGTGTCTGAAGATTATCCATCTATCATCTCATATGGACCCTCATACTTCGAGTCATACTCGACTTTGCCCGGCGTCAAATTTAGTCACGGCTTCAATATGGGCAAGAATGGCACTGCGGGCATGGATAATCTCATTGCCACCGTGCCACTGGCATGCAAAGCACTTAAAAACGGAAAGCTGGCATACTGGGAGATCGGAAACGAGCCAGATCTTTTCAAGACAACCAGACCGAACAGTGTACGACCTACGAGCTGGACTGAGAGTGACTATGTGACAGAATGGTTGGCCAAGGCACAAGTAATCAAGCGTCAGCTCAAGAAGAGTTGCCCTGAAATGGCGACGGATGCTGAGTACAAGTATCTTGCGCCGTCATTTGCAGGTACAAAAAACAGTCTGGACCCGCTCAAGACCTGGCAAAGCGGGCTTGATACGGACCACAATGTTGGTTTGAACTCCATGCACAAGTATGAACACGCCTCCCTAATCATATAGAGTGTGAATTTCTCTTGTAAAGATATCTAACAATCGTCTAGCTACATCGGCGGTGCAGACCAACCAGGTGTCACCCTCCGCCACACCCTTATGAACCATACCTCAACCACACACAGCGTCGACCAACACGCCAAGCTTTCCCAAGAGCTCAATACACAAGGCTTGACCAAGGATATTCCCTACATTCTTGGCGAGACAAATTCACTTTACCATCAAGGCAAACCGGGACTATCAAACTCATTCGGTGCCGCACTCTGGGTCGTGGACTTCAATCTCTATTGCGCATCACAAAGCATCCAGCGAACACATATGCACCAGGGCACCGACTACCGCTACGCATCCTGGCAGCCTGTCCAAACTAACAAGACAACCATAGGAACCAAGGCGCCCTACTACGGTAACGCAATGGTCGCCGCAATGCTAAAGAGCAACAAGGAGAGCGACGATGTACAGGTTGTCAATCTCCCCCTATCGGAAGAGACAGAGGCTGCTTACGCGGCATATGTGAACGGTCATCTGGCCAGGATTGCTGTGGTCAATCTGCAAGAATACAACTACACGACCTCCGATTCGGACTCGGACTCGGATTCGCTATCGGATTCGCCTTCAGACTCGACGCAGCGTCCTGTGGCAAAGTACTCGTTCCAGATCCCTGCAACCTTGGCAAAATCGTTATCCGTCCAAAGGCTTATTGCAAATGGCAGCGACGCCATTACAGGTATCACCTGGGACGGCTGGTCATATAACTATGAACTCCAGGGCGGGAAGCCTGTGCGGCAGTCCAATGTCACGATTGGTGAATCGCTGTCTGTGAGCAAGAAAGGGATGATTGAGATTGAGGTACCTTATTCTAGTGGTGCGATGATCAATCTTTAGGTCCAACAAGGGATCTGTCCTAGCGGAGATAAACCCCAAGCGAGTCAGAATAGCTCCACTTGTGCCTAGACTTGACTCATCCTGTCTTACATATGTACATAGATCAGAACTAAGATTGAGTTCTATATTTGGGATCTGGATCCTTATCTCCATATACAATGCCCCAGAGCAAGTTCGGGATCTGCTATTAAAGGAGTATCCTTGAAAGTGGCGATGTCTGAGCTAGCGCCTCACAAGAGAGCAACTATGGCCGAGGGTAACGAGAACGAGGCATCTGGAAGCCTACAATGGATTAAAGTACCTAGTACTCTGTCCCTGGACGACTTTTAGAATCCCGACCTTACTGTAGTTACGGTGAGGAGCAGCAACATCGCCATGTGGATTCCACGTCCAGGTACTCCATAGTCACCGCTACCAACCGCTACCATCCGCGGACTCCGGACGTCACTCAAATCAACACCATCAAACTCACAAGCCCTGAGAGCTTTGACACCAAATTCACAGTTAGAGGTCAGAGTTCCAAACATGCACGCCTCCTGCACTTCTATCCTGGTGCTAGGATCCCGCCATATGCATCAAGCTTGCAAAGGTAACGGAATGTCAGAAACCGGGGTCCGGAAGGCCCTATCCGCGGTCAAGCACATAGTGCAGTCCCTAATTGACCAGAGAACGGGGACTCCGGTGCTTCGGTCCTTCGAAGAAGGTCATCCCTGACAGATAGGCGGGATGCGCAGATGTGCAGTGCAACAGTACATATATGGTAACAGTAGACAATCACAGACAGTGATTCGTTACTGCAGACCTAAAGCTGGGGGCTCTGCGTCTCCAGATCCCGCTGTTCATCAACTCATCTGTTGGGTGCCCAAGTGTTGTGCTCCACCCCGCACTTCAACGCAAGGGACGCATGGCTTTTCTTGCGCCACTTACTACAGGGCTTTTTTTGTTCCTTGTTTTTTGCTGCTTTTTTGGCTTACAAAGTTCGAGGCCAATGCAGCTCAGACAATAGTACGGATTGCACATAATGGTGTTGCTTTGCTTCACAAGCAATGTACTGCAATGTACGCTGTGTATTGACTGCGTGGAACTTGTGTTGCTTTTTTTTCCTGTTTCGTTTTGTTTTTGTTTTTGCTTTTGCTGTTTCTTCTTCTGATATTTGTCTGTTTTGCCTTGCCCAAAAATGAGGCTGCCTGATGAGGAGACGTGAATACGGACTACCCAATAGTTCTGCAGATGTCAGAAGACACAGGTAACAAGCCGTCAGGCTGACCGGTAAAAAGTCTAAACGCCATATTTTCGGCCCCCCTAATTCAGGAGATTATAGTGCGCACTCGACTCTTGTTCTTAATCGTGTTCTCACCTCTTGACTATCCAAAGCGGGGCTACCATGGGTATTTCGCGATAGAATGCGCCTTGAGTTATCAAATCATAAGAATCGGTTAAATTTTCCGTGTTTGTGTGGGCCAGTGCAGATGGCAATAGTGGCTGCGTGATAGTGGAATAAAGAAGCAAAAACTACAGTATAATATAAAGAGACGGTGGAGAAGTACAACAATCAATGACTAAATTGGGTCTTTGTTACATGTGGCTTTTGTTCGCCATAGGCCGGCATGTTGGTGGCGTCGCCAGATAATCACCCCTTTGAAATGTTGGGTATACAGAGCATACTCCAGGGAAGGCACAACGCGTCGATATCCAAGGGAGCACTGTCCTTTGTGCAAACCGGCGACAATCGATTCTGAGTTTGCGATCCGCAATCCCCCACTCCCAGGACAGTTACACTGTCGATCCGGGAGCGAGGAACCCATCCTAATGGTGGACAGGAACTAACTTCGAATATCCTTTGTTTATCGATTCAAACGACAATCAGTTCACAAAATGTGGTGACCCTAGCCCCGGGTTGCCACGTCGGCATCTGCACGATGCCGCAGGAGAGTAAGAAGAATTTGCAATATTGGCCGAGTACTCCTGGGGAAGACCATGCTAGCGTGAGTACAACGCCTCAAACTAGTAGACAAACAATGTTGAAAAACAAGGAGTTCGAGGAAGCCGCCAAGAAAATCCAGTAAAAAAGAAACGAGCGGGAATCACAGAACATCCTGTAAGCCAGGCCCCATCCCGACTTACATCGTATTTGGAACCCGCATGCCGGGAACGAAGGGTTGGCTTCCGTGCGTGTTGGAAATAAGCTCAAGTTCGATGGTCGACAGTCGCGTCGACGGCCTTCTCACGGGACTTTAAGCCGTCCAATGCCCAAACTGGACCCTGAGGGGGCCCAGGGCAGAGATCAGAAAAAGTTGCACCCTTCAGACCCGTTTCAGATTAGGTTGGGAGCGACCGCACAGACAATCGTATTGGTCTTCGGTCATGGAGCTGCCAGTGGGGATAAACTTAGTGGCCATGTACATCAACACACACTACGGTATGCCCGGGCAAAAGGGAGTGGAAAAGAAAAGGATAGATTGCGGGCTTTGGGCTGCATGCAGCCGGACAAATGCTCCATCAGACTCTGTGGGCTGACGCCGACGCGCAACGTAAGTATCCATCGAGAAGAGTCCACAAGATCCGCCTAGGCCTGCGTTAGTCAGTGACCCATCAGCCTCTCTTGGGGCCTTCTCCCCTGGCTTGCATACGATGATCGCAGAGGCGTCGAGGGAGGCCGCTGAACTCTTTAATCACCTGTCGTGGCTGATGCAGGCCAAGAGATCGGCAATCCTGCGGTCAAATTGGACCTATCCTTGTTTGCACGGATGGACTGGCCCATCGCTCGATCAGGTACGGATAATAACTGGGGTCATGTCTTTTCGAAGATACAAACGATGGGATACACCGATTGCTAACCTAGCCGATCGTATTAGAGCGAAGACTAAGCTGATTAGTGGAGTCCTCGGGACGATCTATAGAAATATAGAAGTTGAGACGTCAAAAGAGTGTTCTCGGATCCCCCGAACCGTGGAACGCGACTCAAATCAGATATTCAACCATGGTCACAGCCCTAAGGAATGTCAGTGCGCAGAGTGGACTCGGCCCTCAAAGTGACACGAAGCTTCCTTATCGCCACACGCAGCTTTTGCAGCTATTTCTTTTTCCTTGCATTGACACAGTAGCCGATTCGTACTCTCAGGGGATACCTATGTCATGTGGGGACTTGAGAGTTTGGCGTCGGAAGTCGAGCAGATCATGGTCTTAGTGTATATCTAGATCGCCTGGACCCTTCCCCTGAGCGTTACCGGATACAATATCCATTGGAAGTCCGTGTCCATCCCTGTCGAGAGTGGGGTTCGATCTTTTTTCTATTAAGTACAGATCGCGGTTGCTCCCCGACCTCGATTTTGTATTTTCTCGCAACCTCCTTGCTGAGTCGAACATGTGCAGCGGGGTTTAACCCATTCAATCTTAGATCGAAGCACACTATACAACAATCGCACTTCCCAGTGCCTCAATATGGATACAAATCGTGGATATCCGTTCCCGGGGGAACTCGAGCGAAGACATTCTGATACCTGTATTCCACACCAACCTATGAACATGGTAATATAGACAGTGAATGCAATGTATCAAGTTCATAGCTAACGACTGACTAGTCGATCACTCCTAAACAGCCCCTCAACCCAGAGTTCCCTCATCCACATTTCGCTATGATCTATATCGACCACAATGGGGAATATCAGCTGCAAACTTCTGCCTCAATGGCCGGATGTGGAGGAGCCATCTTCACACCGGATGTCACAGACCGATTTCTTGAAATGACCTGTCCAGGGACGCAGGCCAGCCCAAGTTTCAGTACAGGTGAGTCAGAGTCTTGGAAACCAGTATATAAAAACAGTAAAGTTGACTAGACTTGTTCCAGACCAAACCAACCAAGCATCCTACTCGGCCTGGGACGTGCAGTCGTCTCCCAACTGGGTTCAATCCGGCCAGACGAGACCAATGGAGAAGATCCCGTTTGAGTGGCAAACGCCAAACAGCCGAAACAAAAAACGTAGACCAAACCCGGCTGGCATTGTCAAGTCTCGGTCCAAGTCTCTTTCTCCGCCGCCAACGGCGACACCCCCGCCTACACGGACTGTTCTTCGAGTGGGGAATCGCGCTCTGCTACGACGGTACTACGAAAAGGCATTTGAGGATTTTCAGCAACTCAACTGTCGTGCTATCGCAAAGTCTTACATCAAACTTGTTGAGCCGAGGAAGCAGGTTCATTTCCCGTACAATGGACGCAGGGTTATCGCCGGTGTCTCGCAGCGTGTTGACCCAGAGTATACGAAGCCGGGGTGGTGGCCAGCTGGTGTTTTGCACAAGGAGCCTGATCATCTACTTAAGAATGGTAAGTATGTGGTTGGAGTGTGCGATATGAATAGGTTATCTGACTCCAAACTAGACCGCCTGCGACTCCTTGTCCACATCCTCTGTGAGTTGAAGGACAGCCATGGGGTCACCGCTGAAAAACTGCGCGACGCCGGTCAGGATGTCCGACGCCAGATCACACCCGCCAACAAACTTCAAGTTCTCGATGAGATCTACTTTGTTCGACAAATGGAAGAACGGTTCTTGGACGGAGAAATCGGTATGTATCAACATACCAAAAACGAGCCACTTGTACAATCACTAACCAATATCCCTTCCTTGTTATAGATGCCAGTACTCTGATCCAGATCACCCACACACACCTCCCCGAAGCAATCTACCACGACGTCGATGAGGTCTCACCGCGCACACAAGCCGCACCAGCGTCAGTATCGGCAATCAAACAAGACCACGACATGAACGATGCACACGATGACAGTATCCCCTCATTGGACGAAGACGAGTCCAAGCTCCAGTCTCACTCGCATATCTTGCCCTTGTCACCCACAACCAGTGAGTCAAGTGGCCCACACAGCCCGAGATCTGGCGGCTTTAGCTCGTACCCATTGGTTATGCCCCCTCCAACGGTGCACGTCATTCCACCAGAGTCTCCAACTGTCCCTAAGCCAATGCATGACCCGTCCTACATGTCTGGCTATTACGCGCAGCCTTTCATGTCTGACAAGGGCCAGGGATTCTGGCCACATGCCAGTCCTGTGTCGCAGTATGGATATTGAAATTGCTTCACTTTCTTTTCCTTTTTATTCTTTTACTTTTTTCTATTCTTCACTTTTACCTTTTGGATGAGTTAAGCATGGAGTTTGTGAGCATTGGGATCAGGATACGATTTCTATTGACTATAACTTTTTTTTTCTTTGGGATAGGCTATGACCTCACTTTTGTATACGGGAAGTGTAGGAAAATGTGACATGATTATGAGACAGATTCAATGGAAAGTGTATACATATAACCCTATAGTTTAGTTCCTCAAAAGTACCGTGTTCCATAAAGTAGATTTCTGCCTCAGGCCACACACCACCTGCACTCACTCCGCTCTCTTATTGGGTGGAGTTGACGATCCCCCAGCGCAGCTCCCCAACCAACCACCAGCCACATCACAAGCACACGTCAATTCCTCATATTCTCGCTGGCTCATCTCTTCCCTTGTTAGAGGATCTTTTGCACTGTTTGACACTCTGCAGCTTCTCACTATAGCCATTTTCGTGTCATGCGCCAGGGATTTGCATTTGTTTATCTCTCTGGATCACCAACCACAGCTTACCATCTTTGCCTCGTGAATCCGCCCAGGGCGTGATCGCCGATAAGGTAGGGTTGCCATCTATTTCTTGCCCCTCATGTCTAAATAAGGCCGGTGTCTGCTGAGCACTTGCGCCGCTCTTTCACATATCTACCTGCTCTCGTGTGTTTTCACAATGGGGATGCTAACATTCAACCGTTTCCTCAGTCGACCATATCCCAATCATCGGGACGGTCCAACGATATTCTTCTTCCAACAACAGTTTTTGATGGAAACCAGCTCGCGAAGAAAGTCCGATCCCGCCATGCCAGCCGAGTCACTCGCCTCCACCCCGGGTCTGGAGGAGATCGATGCGCCCTTTCCTGCGGACGACTTCGCCGATAACGATGACTTCTACTCACCTCCTGCCTCTCCGGGTAGGCTATCACGCAACGGATCCTTCTCCAACAGCAGCTCGTATCAGGAGGACTGGGAGACTTTCCCGCCGCTGGACAAGTTGACTATCTTCGATCTGTTGGACAATATCCAGCTCTCGCAGCGCCTGGAGAAGTGGCAGCAGACTATCGCCATGCAGAAAGAGAAAGTGCGCAAGCAGCGGGAGAAGATTAAATCGTCATCGCTGAACGCCAAGGATCGTGTTGTAGGGGAGTGGAAACGCCGAGCCCCAACCGCCGATGAGAAGCTGGAGAAATACCGTGCCCGGATGAAGCAGGGCGTCGAGCGGCTGGGTAAGCAGTGGAACAAGACGGCCACTGTGACCCTCCGCGAGAAGGCGTCTTTCATTGCCGGTGTTCTCAATATCTTCATCAGTGGTTATCTGATCGGTGCTTGCCCGGAATACTTCCACATCTGGTTCAGTGCCCAGCTGTTGTATTTCATGCCTATTCGATATTTCACCTACCACGCCAAGGGCTACCACTACTTCCTGGCTGATCTCTGCTACTTCGTCAACTTGCTCTGCATGCTGAGCATTTGGGTCTTCCCCAATTCGAAACGGCTTTTCATTAGCACCTTCTGTCTGACCTTTGGAAATAACGCTGCTGCCATTGCCATGTGGCGTAATTCAATGGTCTTCCATAGTATGGACAAGGTTGTCAGGTATGTTGGAATCCACAAGTTTCAAAAGGGAAATTAGCTGACTCAATATTAGCTTGTTCATTCACATCATGCCTCCGGTGACTCTACACTGTATCGTGCATTTGACCCCAGTTGAAAGGCTCAAGGAGCGTTTCCCTGCAGTCTACAGCATCAAGTTCAGTCAGTCTGGGGACCCTGAGCATTATGGTCTTGGTGCCATGATTATCTGGGCCACAGTTCCATATCTAGTGTGGCAACTGTTGTACCATTTCCTAATCACCGTCCGCCGCCGTGACCAAATTGCAGCAGGTCGCCCAACCAGCTTTACCTGGCTCCGCAAGTCATATTCCAAGGCCCCCATTGGCAAGTTTGTGCTGAGCCTCCCCGAGGCGCTGCAGGAGCCCTGCTTCATGTTTATCCAGTATGGATTTGCTCTTTCAACAATGATTCCCTGCCCGATCTGGTTCTGGTACAAATGGGCTAGTGGCATTTACATGGCCGCTCTGTTTATCTGGAGCATCCACAATGGAGCAACCTACTACATTGACGTATTTGGCAAGCGCTTCCAGAAGGAACTGGAGGAACTCAAGAAGGACGTTGCGCGATGGCAATCTTCTCCTGATGGAGTCACCAGCCCACTCCTTCCCGCCGAGCCTAGTCCTCTCAGTGAAGCTGTCAATGCTTTCAGTGGGGACAAGCGCTCCAGTGTTGATCGTATTCCGTTGCTGGACTCTGCCGATGCCTCGTCGAGTGCCTTGCAAGCCAGTCTGAGCCCTGACTCTGCCGTTCGAGAGAGAAGTTAAACACTAGGGACAGTTCCTTTCTTTAATCTTACGATACCCTGGCGAGATATAGTTTAATTGCGTTTTTGTTTATACCAGCGTTTGCCATTCTTTATACCCTCCTCGTTGGTTTCTAAGATTTACGTCAATATTTATTTGGAGCGAAAATTTGTATAAATTGACCAGAGTGACATGAACATGATATAATTTGCCCCCTGCACTGCCCCTAAACAAGCCTTACCAGATCTAGACCAATTATTTTTATCCCCGATCTCCGAGTCACGTGCAGAATGATCGCAGACAACTCATCGCTTCCGGTCCATTCCAAACTTCCGTAACCATCGAATTATTTCTATTTACTTGATTGTTCATCCCGTGGACATTTGAATTGATTATTTCCTTCGGTGTTGTCGCTCCTACACCCTGTCCGCTCGTTGTTTCGAGCTCTTCCTTTTCTCTTAACAATTCCGCAAATGTCCGCCACAATGAGATCCACTGGATTGGTTCGCGGAACCCCTGCTTTTCGGGCAGCGCTCGTTGGTGAGGACTTTGAAAAGGAATATTAATGTTGATAATGATGGAAATGTTGACTTTTGAACAGGTCGTCACCGTTCCAGTGCGCCGAGTCCGGCCTCTGTGGCAGCCCGAAACCTCCTCCGAAATGGCCGCAGTCTCCCATCTCAAGTATCGGCTCTCGCTATTCTGATCCCGCAGCGTGGATACGCGACCGAGCAGACTACATCGAACTCTTCTCAATCCTACCCTCCCCCGGGATTCAACGCCGAGCAAGCGAAGAAGCCGCTCCCCCTGGACCAGACTACGCAGTCACCATCCGCTGTTGCGAAGCCGCAGTCTGAGACCTCGCCTGTTAGCAAGACACAGTCTGGAACTGTGACAAAGTCGACCGCAGAGGACCAGAAGGTGGCCGAGAAGAAGAACGCCAAGAAGTTGACGCTCGGCCAGAAGGTCAAGAAGGAGATTCAGCACTACTGGGATGGAACCAAGCTGTTGGCCACAGAAGTCAAGATTAGTTCGCGATTGGCGTTGAAGATGGCCGGTGGATACGAACTGAGTCGGCGAGAGCACCGCCAGCTCCAGCGCACCACCAAGGATCTGGGCCGTCTGGTTCCCTTCTCGATGTTCCTCATCGTCCCCTTCGCCGAGCTGCTTCTCCCCGTCGCTCTGAAGATGTTCCCCAACCTCCTTCCCAGCACCTATGAGGGACAGAAGGCCCGTGAGACGAAGGCCCTGAACCTCAGTTCCACCCGTAAGGAGGTCTCTGGATTCCTCCGCAACACTCTGCGCGAGACTGGTCTCCCCCTGACGATGGCCACTGTCAAGAACGATGAGTTCGCCGATTTCTTCCGTAAGATTCGCACCACCGGCGAATCGCCCTCAACCGAGGATGTGATCAAGGTCTGCAAGATCTTCAAGGACGACCTGACCCTTGACAACCTGTCGCGCCCCCAGCTGGTCGGCATCTGCCGATACATGAACCTGAACTCGTTCGGCACAGACGCCATGCTCCGCTACACCATCCGCCACCGCATGCGTCAAATCAAGCGTGACGACCGCGCGATCTTCTACGAGGGCGTAGACTCGCTCTCCGTCCCAGAACTGCAAATGGCCAGTGCCTCGCGCGGAATCCGCACACACGGCGTCTCCCCCGCTCGCCTGCGTGAGGATCTCGGTATGTGGCTGGAACTCCGTCTGAAGCAGGGCGTTCCCTCCACCCTGCTCGTCCTGAGCAACGCATACCTGTACACCCAGGGCGGCAAGGAGTCCGAGATGGCGTCGCAGATTGACGCACTCAAGGCCGTACTCTCCAGTATCCCTGAGGAGCTCTTCCACGAGATCGAGCTCGAGGTTCACAATGCCGAGGGTGCTGCGACTAACAAGCAGCGTCTGGAGGTTATCAAGGAGCAGGAGGAGCTGATCGAGGAGGAGAACGAGCAGAACAGCGAGAACGAGGGCAAGGGTGTTGCTGCGCCTAAGGATACCGAGGATATCGACGAGAAGGAGGAGGCCAAAGTCGAGGCCACTGATGGCGCGGATAAGCAGACTTCCGAGGCTAATGAGGCCATGGCGGAAGGTGACCGTGCTGAGAAGACCAGTGATTCCAAGGAGGCCAAGAAGGGCGAGAGCTCGTAGTGCGTCTCCATGGATGTTATGATTATGCTGGCTTGAGCCGGCTATGTGTTTTTGGTTTGGTTTCAGGTTTGGTTTGCGCACTTATCATATAGATGGTTGTTTGGTTTCCCCCTTCAGTTCTTGTCCTGTCTTATTTCTCTCCACTATGTTGATAGACCATTTACTCCCCACCTACTTCTTATTTTCTTTGATCTCTGGCTGTTGCTGGTACGTTCTTTTGATTTCTACCTGGCTTATTTCCTTGTCAAGACGGACTTGGGCTGCATGTGGATAGTATGGCTATAAATGAAAACAATCAATTCAATAATTCATCCAAACTACCTGTAAAGCTATGGATGTAGATGTAAATATTGCTCGGTTACATCATTAGTCAGATCTTACCTCGGCTACAACGAACCCCATCTTTCCCGATACATCTAGAACTTCCAAGATTGTATATAACATATCACATCCACAATCTAGTGCAATGAGAAGAACCCATCTCCTCAGAAGCATCACCCGCCAAGCCTTCAGCACGCGGCAAAGTCCAAGCCCAGCATCAAAATCAAGACCAGGACCAGGACCAGGATCCGAAAGCACCCTCAGCTCCAAGACCCCTTTCCAACCCCGACGCCCCAACTCCGAACTAAAAGGAATGGCGCCCCTAAATGCCGCCTCTGAGGTATGTGGATGTGGAAACTAGCCTGCAAGTACCCGAGCAGTCCGCGTGTTCAGCGTGTCCAGATGCAGGTCCTGTCGTGCTCATTTGCCATGGATGCATACATCCCCTGCCGTTGATCCCTGTTTTTCTTTTTTGCCTTATTTTCATTTTAATTCCCCCTTTTTGAAGAGATGCATGGTTCATTTGAGTTTCGGCTTCGGGTCTTACTGTGTGTGTGCAGTACTGCCCCATTCTTCAGGGAAGAAAGGATCCTTGAAAGGGGAAGGAAAGGGGAAGGGATGTCGATGGCGATATGGAACATTCTCTCGATCTATTCTGAGACTGAGACTAAAGGTTAACCCTCAAAGTCAAGGTTTCGTATCTGAGTGAACCATCCTATTGCGTATTCCCCGTTCCCCGTTCCCCGTTCCCAGATCCCCGTTGAGTCTGATCCTGATCTAATTCTGCTATTCACATCCCTACTCTTTGATTCATTATCCATGCCGTGGATGTCCACCCCGAGCAATAGCATTGAAACACACCCGGATCCAAGCTCAAAAATCCAATATAGCAAGCTGGAAGCAAGAAACACAATGGAATATACAGCACACTGATACACTGATATACTGATACCCACTATAGGCCGCAATAGCCCGACTCCGAAGCTATGTCCCCCCGCCAACAGCATACAGCTCAGTGCCACTAAGCCGGCGTGCAGCCGTGCTGATACTGCTCTACGCCGACGCTAAGGGGGACCTTAGGGTGGTGATTACGATCCGGGCCAAGACACTCAGTTCGTGTATGTTTGATATTTATTGATTTTTCTCGGCCTGGTCTGGCCCTGTCGCATGGCAGACTGTCACGCTAACTTCATGTAGATGCAGGAGAGGCGGCTTTGCCAGGTGGTAAGTTTAGCTTTTTTTACACTGTTACATTTTTACATCTGCAATATCTATTTCGAGAAGGAAGGAGACCGGAAAAAGGGGGTAAAAAGAAAATATATGCCCAAAGGGGAGAATGGGGGAAGCAAACAAGGGAGATGAAAGAAAAAGAAAACAAAAAAGAAAAAACAAATAAAACGGAAAAAAAGAAAAACGAGGAGAAGAAAAAAGAAAAAGAGAAAAGAAACGCCCACACTCCGACCCAAATTATCGAACATATGAGCTATCACATACATATCACATACACTACACTACAGACAGACTAACAAACCCAGGCCGAGCAGACACCCTTCAGGAAACGCCCTTCCAAACCGCCCGCCGCGAAGCGAGCGAGGAGATCGGCCTCCCCGAAGATGAAGGAGGACCTTCAATCCTCCCTCCCTTCCGCGTGGAGCATCTCTGCGAGCTCCCGGCAAACCTTGCCAAAACCGAACTGGTCGTGCGTCCCTGCGTCGCGCTGCTGCATGGCTACGATCCTGTAACGGGGCTGGAGGCTGATCCGGAGGTATCGCTGATCCCCAAGTTGGATGCTCGGGAGGTTGCTGCGGTGTTTACGGCGCCGTTTAGGGATTTCTTGTCTATTACTGAGGACGTGGAGTGGTATCGTGGGTCGTGGAGTTTGTGGCATGATTCGAGATGGCGGAGTAAGTTCACTCTATACCCTATACCCTATACCCCGTATACCCGTAGCTAAGGGTGGGGATGATGCTTTTGTTTATTTCTTCCATTTGTTCTTTCTTTGTGTCGAGCTGACTGTGGATCCAACGCCACTAGTGCACCAGTTCTTTGTCCCCAGTCAAACGGTCACACATCGATCGACAACATCCAACGTCAAAGTAGAAGGAGACACTCGTTATCGCGTATTCGGCATGACAGCCCGCATGCTGGTTGACGCGGCGCGAGTCGCCTATGCGCAGGAACCCGAGTTCGAGCATAACAGCCACTTCGGGGATGAGGCCATGATCGCCAAGCTTCGCCGGTTAGGCAGATTGAGTGCGGTTCGCAAGGCCTCGGATGGGTTAACCCGCGAAACTATGGAAAAGGCGTCCAAACTTAGCTAGAAATCTCTGAGTTGGGGTTAGAGTGTACCTGTCAAGTAGTTAGACCAATCATATATGACCACCGCAAGGGTGATCCAAGTTGCGTGGCATCGGTTCGTTTGCTAATGTCTCCTTGCATGAAGTCCGTGCACTGATGATGCTCCTCTTTCCTCCTCACTTGACTCTCAACTCTTTCAAGATGGACTCTTTATCTCTTTGTTTCTTTCTTCACATCCTTTGATGTTATTTTTACATCCGATTACATCTGGTTCCGAGTATTAAGGGCTGTCTTCTGGCAAATGCTATCTCCATCTTACCGAATGGCTCCCCCGGTCCGGCCATCCCGTTCCCTCGAAGGTCTCGAACGAGTGATTCCTCCTCTTTCTCCTCTGTCGCCTAAGACGCCCTTCTCACCCCGACTCTTCCTCAATAAACCTCTCCCCGCAAAGCCACTCCCTGAAGAACCAGAGTATTCCACCATGTGGAGTGACTCCAGCGATAGTGAATCCACCGTCGACAGTATCGCCAGTCCTTCAGAACCTCGTGACTCGGTCGAATACCCAATCTTCGTCTCCGGCGCTGATGACTTCGACTTGATGGATCACCCGGCTCCAGCCGCCGATCCACTCCCCGTGACCCCACTCCGCACGGACAATTTCGAGATAGATGAGATAGACGAACTCAACGAGGTAGATGAGCTTGACGACGTCGCATCGATTGCAGAGGAAACCCCATTATCAGTCTCAGTTTCGTCATCTTGGTCAGACACACAGTACGGCCGACCAGTCCACTGGGCCCAGAATCGACCCGGTACCAGCCACTATTTCCGCGAGAAGAAGTGGGACTATTTCCCCGAACTGGCTCCATCCACCCTACAAGCCAGCGGACGCACCAATTCAAAGCGCAGGAAGAATCTCTCCGCCTTGGATTTCGCAAAAGCCAAATACCGCTGGCACTCGCTCGATCGTACAGGTCTAGGCGGAGTCCGCGAGTCAATCAAGACCTACGTCCACCGCACTCTCTCCCGCGATGGCACAGAAAATAAAGCCAAAGAAGTGACACGTCCATCGACAGCACCAATGGACCGCCACATCGATCACGCAGGTAGTACCAGCATCCTGGGGACAAGTCTAGGCAGCAAAGTCTACATACCACAGCACTCTTCCTTAGACGTGGATGCCCCATACCGAGCGATATCCGTCTCGACAGCATCAACATCGGCGTCGGCATACAGCACCAGCGCCGGTACCAACGCTAGAGTGACTAGTCTCAGTGCCAGCGACTACGACAACCCCAACCATCACATGTACTACCCACTCCACTCCCCCCTCTCGCCAGTCTCCCCAACCACCCCGATAATCCCTCGCCAAAAACAACTCGCCGTGCCGATGTCCCCGTATCAGAAATACGGATCGTCGATCTGGGAAACACCCAAGAAATCGAAGAAACGGGGCGTGCAATTCCCTAAATACTCCAAGCAGCCTTCGTCTCTGACTCTCAGACCGGAGGCATATCCATACCCCGGTTCTGCTCCGGTTATGAATGCTTCCCAGATCACATTTGTAAATCCAACGCCGCCACTTTCTCCACCACTCAAGTCGCAGCTTTTGCAGAATACCCGTGGTGCGGTGAAGGCTCTGCAAGGCAAGTCGAAGGAGGAGAAGAGGAGGGAGTTATTGAAGGCCCAGATTAAGTTTGTTGGGCCTGTTAATCCTCATACTTATGGGAGGGATCCTTGGGTTTGAGCTGTTTTTGCCACATCAATTCGCAACTTGGTTTGCCTTTTCTCTTTCCTTTTTCGTTTCTTCTTGTTGACATTTGCGTTTGCACACATCTCACGACCTCTCATGACTATATACCACATACCCTCTACTCGCTTCTAATCTGCTACCGTTTCTGTTTTTGTGTTTAATTTCTTGGTTGTATCTTATAGGGATTTATTCCCCTCGACACCCCCACTCCCTGATATACGTCTATTTCCTTTCGATATTACATTTTGAGCATGGGATGTTCACATCCCATCCCACTCCTTTGCCTTATCTCCTATTAATAATTATCTGTTTATCTGTTTTCCTCCCATTGGATCGGACCATTATTATCAGCATAGATTTCCGCAGGCGCACTTGGCGAGGTGTACATCTTTCACTTGCATTTCAGCCACTGACTCTTTTGAATCTGAGTCAGTTCGTTTCTTCCGTCTTTTCTTTGTTTGTCGATATTCTCCGAGTGGCTTGGCTATGAATAAACTTAGTTGACTCTCCACTATTCCGTATCTCTACTCCTATACTTTACTTTGCTGTACACTGAAATTAGTATTGATCGTCAAGGATGATCTGCATCCAACATAGTACAGTATACACATCACTCCTTGCTATACTGTAATGTAGTTCTAATTACGTTAGACCACACAGTATACAGCAAATAAGTACGGACCTCCACATTCACTTGCATCTCACGTCCACTTACAGTAGCGACCGCTTCCACCTTCCATGTTGGACAACGCAGAGGAGCTTTTTCAAACTCTAGTCGCATGAGTCTCTAAGCCGTATATAGTTAGCCTCGTACTGAAACGATCCGTCATAAGGCCGAATGGTATAATACAAAACGAAGGAAAGGCTAAGTATTGTAAGTGTCAGTCTACTGTTACTAAGATGATAATACCACACTCACCATCACGTCATTGCAGCTCGCACAAACATCCTGACTTACTGAAAGATCGCACGAAAACTTGGTCTCTGGAAATGGATATACATATGATACGACAGTAGCTACAGATTCCCTAGTCTCAAGAAGCGACTGTGGCAAAGGGTAGTGAGCATTGTAGCATGGATACATGCAGTTGTTCGGCAAGTCTGATCTACCCTAGCACTTCACAAGGAATCATTTGCAAAAGATGTTATAGAGGAGTATTAGGCGCTATTTTGCATCTGCAATGCTTAATGCGTTCAACGTCTCCGCAAGTCACCGAGTTCTATCGTGTTCTGGACCCAGGGCATTCCCGTTGCCTGTCAGTGCTCGCTGGTACGTCTCTTCTGCCTCCTTCAGCTTGCCCTGATCCTTGTAGAGAAGGCCAAGGTTGTTGACTGTATCGAGTGTAGATGTATGATTAGGACCTAGGGCCTTCTCGTATCCTGATAGTGCTCGCTGGTACATCTCTTCTGCCTCCTTCAGCTTGCCCTGACTAGAGTAGAGAATGCCAAGGTTGTAGACTGTCGTGAGAGTAGATGTATGATTAGGACCTAGGGCCTTCTCCTTGCCCTCTAGTGCTCGCTGGTACATCTCCTCTGCCTCCTTCAGCTTGCCCTGATCATAGTAGAGAAAGCCAAGGTTGTTGACTGTATTGAGAGTAGGTGCGTGTGTTTTATGTTGCGGGCCAAGGGCCTTCTCGTATCCTACCAGTGCTCGCTGGTACATTTCTTCTGCCTCCTTTAGCTTGCCCTGATTAGAGTAGAGATTGCCAAGGTTGTAGACTGTATTGAGAGTAGGTGCGTGTGTTATATGGTGCGGGCCAAGGGCCTTCTCGTATCCTGCCAGTGCTCGCTGGTACATCTCTTCTGCCTCCTTCAGCTTGCCCTGATCAGAGTAAAGAATACCAAGGTTATTGACTGTATCGAGAGTAGATGTATGATCAGGACCTAGAGCCTTCTCCTTGCCTGATAGTGCTCGCTGGTACATCTCTTCTGCCTCCTTTAACTTGCCCAGACCAGAGTAGAGAATGCCAAGGTTGTTGACTGTCGCGAGAGTAGATATATGATTAGGACCTAGAGCCTCCTCATATCCTGTCAGAGCTCGCTGGTACATCTCTTCTGCCTCCTGTAGCTTGCCCTGATCATAGTAGAGATTGCCAAGGTTGTTGACTGTATCGAGTGTAGATATATGATCCGGACCTAGGGCCTTCTCCCTGCCTGTTAGTGCTCGCTGGTACATCTCTTCTGCCTTCTCCCTGCCTGTCAGTGCTCGCTGGTACATCTCTTCTGCCTCTTTCGGCTTTCCTTGATGAGAGTAGAGAAAGCCAAGGTTGTTGACTGTATGGAGAGTAGATGTATGATCAGGACCTAGAGCCTCCTCATATCCTGTCAGAGCTCGCTGGTATATTTCTTCTGCCTCCTGCAGCTTGCCCTGACCAGAGTAAAGCTCCCCTAAACGATGGAATGCCCCCCATAACTCAATATTGTCATCTGACCAATCTAGAGAACATACATAATTGGCGTGTGGAAGAAGCCGTTGCTGAAGCTCTGAATAGTCCCTATCATTTGCACTGGGCACAGAGTATCCAACAGATATCAGTGCTAGCTCATTAAGCTGCATCGGATTCACATTTTTGTCTGTGTTGGCAACATGAAGGCACCAGTCTTGTACCACTGGATGCATCGCATAGCTTCCTTCTTGTTGCTTACTCTCAAGAAGAGAGAATCCGATGAGAGACTTCAGGCCAATTTTGAACGCGAGTCCGCTTGATATAGTGTTTTGGAGCCAGTCCGGGACGTTTGAGCTGTGACGGCCACTCTTCACTAACTCGTACCAGATATCACGATTATCAAAACGAGCAAGTAGCAATAGAAGGTCTGCTGCACTTGGATCACGCTTCTGGATCTCAAGATATGAGATCATCCATGTTTGCAGCATGTTGCCTTGCTGGTACTGTCGTCCAGGATTCGATTGCAGCTGTAGCTGAGACCAAGATTCTTGGTAGTACTGCAAGTACTCAGTGATGCTGGTTCCAGTTTCACGCATGAATGCCCCGGCGATAACAATGGCTAATGGCAGGCCATCCAGACGACTGGCAAGAGTACGGATATCTACATATGTTAGCATGATCTATAACATCTATTTATCAAGTGCCATAGTACCTGGATTGTTGTCAAGTTTGCTAGTGGTGTTCCTTGCTGATAGACCACTGCTTTGTAGGAGTAGTTGAATTGAGTTATAAGAGTCTAGCCTGTGCACCGGAAAAGGTTCCCCAAGCTCGCTCAGCGCCTGGAGTCGAGAGGTGATAAGGATGGAGCCATGGTCTGCTGTAGGGAAGAATTCCCGGATATCGTACCCAACACCAACAGCGCTGTTGAATGGGGAGTATTGATCGATGTTATCAAAAATGATTAGCCAGCGCGAGTTGCCATCCAATGCTAGCCACCGTAACATATGCCTAGCTCGTTGCTCCACTTCTCCGTCATTAGTCGCCTCTCTATCACAGCCCTGTCCTAGTATTCGGTTCAAGGCAAAGCTCAACGATTGCAAGAGCGCATCGCGATCCTTGCCACTCAGCCAGAAGATCGCCGTAAAATCATCTCTATGATCTCTCGCGAAGCGAATCGCTAGCTGCGTCTTTCCCATTCCGCCAAGCCCGTGAAGAATTGCAACTTTCCGTGACGGTGAATTTGTCGGTTGTAAATACTGCCACAGATTGTCTAGCTCGTCTTGCCGTCCCACGAATTTTGTAATTACAGGCACTGTGGTCAGGTCTAGAGGGACGTTGAAGCGGTGGACTACACATAGAAACTTTATTTAGTCATGGATTCGAACTAGGCAATGAGTGATACAGTTTGAAACTTAGAATCTCTCACCAGAATCCGCTAGAGTGTCTCGTGCTGTTGGAGTAGTTTCAATCTGATCGATCGGAACCACCAAGACAAGTTCTTTAGCATAGGCTGCTGCCACCGCTGCCGCATATCCTTGCCATTTTTTGTTCTTGTGTGAGTCAGCATAGTCACAGATACCCCGAATCACTAAGCAAGGAAAGTCATTCATGAGCCCTGCAGCTTCCATTTCCACACAGAGGACCCCTAGATCTCGAGCCAGCTGGTCTCGCAGTCTACCATCTTTCACTACCTGATTTGCAGATGCAATCAGTCCATAGTGGATCACTGGTTCTTCATAGTCTCGTGAAAGCCGCGGAGCCAGTTTGGATCGATCACAATCGATACATGTATCAGATCCTCCATGGATATATTCTGATTGATATAAACAGTCCTCTTGAGTGGGTCGTGTAAAGGTTGCAGCTCTGCGCGGGGTCGTTTTGAGTTGGACGTCAGAGACAAATTCAAGAACTCGACTATCTTCTGTAAAGTGGTGGGCTTGGAGTGTAGCGATGGCAGTCAGTAGGACCTTAGGTGGCCGGTTAAGCATTCCCGTCCGCTCGAATTGACCACCGCTGAACGCTTTACCTAGATCGTATTGGATCACACCTCCGGATGTGTCTGCTGGCTGGCTCACCACAATATCGCCTAGGCGAATGTCTGCGTTGCTGCTTGGTACACCTCCACCGATACCGACCATAAGGCCAAATCGGATAGAGTGGAAACTAGAGAGCAACTGCATCGCTACCGTTGCAGCTGATACAGTGCCATATGCGCCACTTGGTAAACAGGCAATAACAATATTGTGTTCCTCGATATTTCCAAGAATATACGTGTTTTGATCTGTCGCTGGGCGAGGTAGATTCGGGTGTATTGCGTCCAGCATTAGTTTTGCGGCTGCCATCTCCAGGGGTAAAGCGCATATCCATCCGACCGTGTAATCGTCATGGGATAGAGAAGCCCTGGCTGCCATGGTGAAATATGTAAGGGTGACTTTGGAGAATAAATAGCCTATCGTGAGTTCATAGTAATATGGGATAAATAAGGTTGTTATGGAGACTAAGTCGTGGCAATGAATGCCAATTCTTGAGAGGAGCGGGATAAATTGGTGAGGCGGACGCATACTAAGCTAATTGTTGACAGATTGCCTGTTCCAGTATTGCCATGTTTGCTCGTTTTGCATCGAATCCTCCAGTCCAGGCCTGTAGTTCTAGACTCTTGTATCTTTCATACTAGTATTTATTACCTGGTTAGGTACAAACGTCTTATTTACGCGCTATCTACGTATGTGTCAGCTTGTCATGTGATCAGGGTTTGAAAGATGATCTCTCTGTTCCCAACGTGGAAGGCGATACCGGTCGTAACTGTACTGTACAGTGACTCGCTTTCATACATACATGCACCTGCAGATGCAATCTACCAACTCAACTACTGTCAAATGCCACTGCTTCCTCTAATACAGTACCGTCCGTGCCAAGGTACATGTACATGCACATGTACAACCCCCTCCTTTGCCGCTTATCTACCGTGGTATGATGTACATATAACCTCCCGTTCGATCACATTTCCGGCTGCACACTTGTACGTTGTACTTATACATAGATCCAGTGGCAAGATGGTTGAAGGGAGGGTGTTATTTGTGGGTTTTACTAGGGGTCTAGGGTATGGGGGTTAGGTCTAGATTCTGGATTCTAGACACTCCAGAATCTAGGTCCGGATGTATGCAGATGCACATAGACGGAAAGGAGCAGAGGAGGAGGGAGGATAAGAAGTTATTGTATGGCTTACTACAAGATCTGATCAGCGCAAAGAGTGCTATGAATCTATGTCCCTTGATGATCTAAATCCACTCCACCTTAACCTAAAACCAAAATTTCAATGATATACGGGTTCCTGAGCTAGATGTATGTTATATATGTGTAACACGTTCCTCGGGTGTCTGATAACCTCAAGTTTGAACTAGCGGTGTACAAACTGACACTAATTAATGAACCAACTATGAACTATCAATATATTCCAAGCTAGGGCTAACTCCACACAGACACGGACACATAAATATCTCAATTATTGTAGGGCAAGACATATTCCTCTGTGTTATATCTCACATACTAACCCCGCATTTGGGGGAACACCTGTCACCGACTTTTCAGGGGCTGGAAATTGCTCGATACATATCTGTGTGGACATGCGTCTGTGTGGGGATATGCGTCTGCAGGTGCAGGTGCAGCTGCATCTGCATGACATCGTTGGGGTTCACAGAGGATGAATTTATGATCTATCGATCTTTGTGTTTTCCATTCTGGGAAACGTGCAGGCATGTGCAGAAGATGCCTATGGTAGTCCACACGCCATTTCTAGACCCTTGTATAGTCCATTCCCAGAGGATTTCACCGAGCGTGCCAATATTACGGGTCCTGCTAGCCAGAACTTTAGCACCTCATCCCACGCCCAGATTGTCAGCCCATCCGCCGCGTTGATGTTAAATATTCCTCTCTTATCCGCAGAGCCTTGAATCGGCATTTGTTCCAGCTAAGGTTCGACAAGCCTCTGTCACATATGTGCGTCTATCTTCTGTCCAATTTCTTACCTCAGCTGCGGAAGCTGCCCTATCTTCATCAACACGCGCCTTGGACAACCCTGACGTGCCTTTGATCATAAGCTCGAGCAAGTCCATGATAAATGTAGTATTGGACCTGCTTATAACCTCAGGGTTCCATATCGGGCACTCAAAGCCAACTATCGTCAGCCGGGCCATCATCAGGCTCGTTTGTGACTGTATTTCGTACTTCATCAATCTATGCTACATCAAACTTCAACAGCTAAGCGCTGTAGACGTGACCCACATCAGGTCTCACGGAGGTATATCTCCAACAGTGTCCACTTCAACACCCAGTCAAATATCATTCTTGCGCTCAGCGACCAAGGCACAAATGTATTATCCATCATGGCGTCGCATGCTTTTTCAACTTCACCCAGAGAGCGGGTTTATAAGGTGTCATGAAGCTTTTCTGATTCGCCCAATCGTGTGATGCTGCATCCAACTCCATATCAAATTCCCACAGTAACCTTGCCAGAAAAAGTGTGGAATTCATGGAAGCAAGCCTTTTAAAGTCAGTATAAAACAATTTGTAAAGTTCTAGAGAAAGGCTTACTCATTGGCAATGCATTTCCTAGGCCCATATCCGAAAGGCTGGAAGGCCTTTCGGCGATCACCGTTATATTCTCCCTCTTCCACGTTGAGCCATCTGTCGGGCCTAAATTCATCAGGATAGATGAAGTTTCTATTGCTCCGATAGGCAGCCCATTGGTTAACTCCTACCACTGTGTTTGGAGGGACAAACTGATCGCAAATATAGGCTCCATCTCCATCAACGACACGAGGTAATGTTCCGACAATTGAGGGATACATTCTCATCGCCTCATCTAGACAGGCTCTCAGGTACTTCATGCCATGAATCAGTTCCAGGTTCAAGTCAGATGCGTTATCAGCCGCTCCTCGAATCTCTTGACAGAGACTTAGTAGAACGGGAGGATTTGAAAGTATATGGTATACAGCGCCGCACATTAGTGAGACAGTGGTTTCAGTGCCTGCGGCAATCAAGCTAGTAGCGTTGTTGATTACTTGTAGCTGGCTTGCTTCGCCTTCCTGTTTGCCCTGTTTCATATAAGACACTAATATCATTTAGTAACATCACCATCCTCGCGAGACCAGGGACGTCATACCGAAATCAGGGTTGGAGCCCCCCTTTTCTAGTCGCTTTGATAGCAATGGCCCGACGGGGCCAAGATGCAACACACCTTTACCAACGAAACTTGCGCACATCTCTAGCGGGTATGAAAGGGCCCCTAAAATGTGTCGGGCCATTACAGGGATATATATCCATTCCAATGCCGAGGTGAGCGTGTATACGGCAGGGTGATGCTGGCCGTTGGGATTGATGGCGTGAAGATCTTCATCTACTGTCAACTTGCACATGATATCAAATAAGGCATTGCCAAATATCGGAACGAGGTCGACCACATCTGCTGTTCGGAACTGTGATTCGAGACCCTCAATTGCACTGCTAACATAAAAGGTCAGGATTGCTTCTTTTGTCAACAACGATTTCTTAGTAAAGGCGTGTTGAATGGATCGCTTTTCGGCGCTGTAGTCATCCCCATCGGCGTCGAACTATCATGCATGAATATGCTATTAGGCAAAATGTGGAAGAAAGTTCCAGTGCGAACTTACGATTGTTTTTGATTGCTCGAAGAGAGGGCCGTAAAGGGTAGGATCTTTTAGAAAAAGAGTTCCAGTAGGTGATGGCTTGGTAGTATTACCCTTTCGGATATTTCGTCCTTTTCATACTGTCAGCTACTGAAATTACCTGTCGAGAGCTGTCGTACCGTATATTGCGCTCCAGGCATCAGGGGCACTGTATGAAAGCTCATTTGGTGCAATCCGAACCACTTCGCCGTAAATGTCGTGGAGCCCCTTTATCTCCAGGGAGAGTCTCCCTCGAACAACTTGAATGCAGTACCAAAGTCGGGATATTTTGCAGTACCATGGACCGGGAAATGAATAAAGAGGATGAAAATACAAATTGTAAACCAGTTGCGAGATAAGGAGGGCACACTAATATTCTTTTAACAAGTACTCCAAGAAGACTGGGAGGCTTCGCGACTGACCATGATTCCCAATGACGTTGAAAGATTGATGTATTCAGTGAAAGGCATTTTGAAAGGTGTGCTGCTCAAGCTTCTTAAGGTGAGATATATTTGATATGGCTTTCGTTCGTTAAATATTTCCACAAATTAAGTAGAAACGAAGCCCATTTAATAAAAACTGCCGTGATATGGGAATACGGGAAAGAACTGCACGTTATGTCATTGAACTCAAACAGAAGACTTTGACCAACAGTACAAGACGCACGTTCAAACGAAAATGCTAACTTTTGCGTCACACACCCTTCTGGGCCAATAATAATAGACAGATCTACGAATATAGTAACAAAAGATTGACGATGTTGTATACCGGCATTTGGCGACACTTGGTTACACAAGGCGGGGAATTTCTTGCTCCATTGTGTTACCCAAATCTGCTCTATCTGAATTTCTAAGTTCCTAATGAACTATAGCTGAAAGTAACTGAGCAGGGTCGGATGTCTAGTAAAATGCATAGGTCAACGGATCGGGGACCGGGGCCCACTAACGTACGTGGTTCGACCGACCGTACCTACTGAGTGATTAGACCAACACACAGAACAGAACTAGTAAAAATCGACCTTCACAGTGCATTAAGCACTCGCCTTCATGAAAATTTACCTAGTCTTATTCCATAAACTCAGACTCATGAAGGGATGTGATAGCTTTTTTCCTATTCATAATATGTAGCAAGGACGTAATATTACAAAGTACGGCACAGCGAGCGGTTGATTGCTAAGGAAAAAATTCCACACCATCCACAGATAGTTGGATTAATAGAGTTGGAAAGGCAAAGCAGGCAAACCAACCCTTTACTGCGATCCAGTGCTCATGCATGCCAATCACTGGGATTTTTCGACGCATTTGCGGGTTTATGGTTTTGGCTTACATGTAATGGCTTCCATTTTGAGAACCGGCCTCTCTTTTTGTACTGGAGCATGATCAGGCGTACGGATACGAGTTCTTGCTTCAACCGGATAGAAGCGCCTGCATATCCATACGATACTAATTAGGCTCCTACAGGTTAATAGAACTTTGATTGATTGATTGATTGATTGATTGATTGCATGCCAATCAACCAACAATAAAAATCCACATTCGCATGTGGTTGTACATTCGTGTTGGATCACGGCTAATTTGGATGATGATATCATAAACCGTACGAAAGCCTACAAATAGTGACCATAGCATGGACTTTTTGAATATACATTGACTTTACATGCTTTTGGTATCGTTATACATCGTTTGGCACTTTGTTGTTTGAAAGACCCCCAAATCATCAAAATGAACATTGAAGTTCGTATCGTCTAAGTAATAGGAGATCCAATAGCTAACAATGTTCAGGAATGCACGCTTAGACCCGTTCATTACGGCAATGACCCAGTGGGAGATAATCAAGAATCAACCCCGATTATTCGGCCCCATCCTTCCCATCCTTATTTCGAACGTTCAGAGACCAATGACTCGGCCTATCTGGATCCTCGGTCAATCCGGGTACCATGGTCGTCAACATTTCCAGGTTGCAGACAGTCAAAGCATTGGCTCGTTGTACAAAATGCGGTACGAGACTTCTTCAACACAATCAAGTCTGCCGAACGCGGCAATCAGGACCAACGTGGAAATGACATAGAGCCTAAATATTCCACAAGAGAAAAAGAGCTTATGGAGACCGCAGTGTCCTGCTCTATTTACATGTTTCCCGAAGGAAGCAGCAAGAGGGCTAAACTCATTTCTACATTGCTTTTAATGGCCTTCATGCATGATGGTGCGTCTATCTTCGCGTTCTTGGGGCCAGTCAATTCTAATCATTGTACAGACGTGATAGAGTACTCGGAGAATGTTAGACCAATGATCGATGCATCGAGAATGTATGGAGCATATGCTAATATTACCTATAGTGTGAGACAGTCGTTGACGGCATCTTGTCCAACTGGCCTGACGACTTACTCGATAAGAATGCTTTGAAGATTTTTAAAGTTCCCGCATTTGAAGAGCTTGCGAATGAGATCATAGGTGAGGACAAACTGCTTGGAGAAGAGTTGTTGAAGGGCTTTATCATATGGGTGCAACACACCCACAGTTATAACCAAATCAGGAGAACCGACTTCAACTTTGGTTGTCTGGAGGATTATCTCGTCTATCGTTGCAGAGATGTCGGCATTGAGTACGTCTGATAACTTAAATGACTTGTCAGTTGACTAATTTCTTATTAGATTCGCTCTCGGAATGATCAAATTCGGCTACGATGCCAATGTACCGGTCTCGCACACATACATACTGAGTAATTTGATTCACCTATACAACCTACACATGGGTCTTGTGAATGACCTCTACTCGTTTGACAAAGAAAAGCGAGACGAGACAAATGGGGCAGTCATGATCAATGCAGTCGATGTTCTACAAAGATCTCGCAAAATTCCGCTTGAAGAGGCTAAAGGTTTGATCCGAAAGATGATATGGCAGCTCGAGATTCAGATGCATGAAGAAAGCGTTTCTATTGAAAGATTTGGTATTTTGACCCAGGACCAGCACAGGCTTGTTCGTGGACTCATGGAATCTGCGGCGGGCAACATATTTTATTCGGCAGTTCAAAAGCGGTATGGGGGAGAGTTGGCTGCCCTGCATTGAACTTTCACAAAGGAGACAGGGTTATTTCATGAAGGATCAGATTTATTCAGCGAGCGGTTAAATTCTATTGTCTATTTCCTCCGACTTACTCTTGTTGTGGGGATCACGGGTCGGCTCGCAGGTGTAAGTGAGCGGAACAACATCTTTTCGTTTTGAAACCGAGTTACACAAACACGAAGTAAAGATATCTTTTCATATGTACATACACTCGACAAATCTTTTGCCACTTCCGGGGTTTTTATGCCGACTTTTATCAAATTGAAAGTGATTCGTCCTGATATCCTAATCATGCTATAGGTAATTTCTTTCAGTTTTAAAAGCTACTATCGCCTCAATTGAGTATCTATGTTATTGCTGTTGTTATTTTGTCACCGATAGCGACGTCTTGGTATGGGTTTTGCTACTATTAATTTAGGGTTTCCCCTTATCGGGATGTGAATGCAGAGGCTATATAATCAACATCTTAATCTAAGGTCTTGATGTCCCAACTTGAACCAACGGAGGATGGCTGCATGACACAAAGTTCTGACAGTGGCAGATGTGGACAGCATGTAAGTGATGTCCCTCATTTACTCGACGTAAAACAAGAACTAGTACTACATAGACTAGTGGCTGGATGCAGGTTCGATAAGACAGGTGCACGGTACACGAAATCAGTAAACGAAATCAGTAATGATTATTGCTTGTTCAAGGTTGTCCGCTAAGTAGTTTCGAAGTGAATTTATCTTAGGCTTAGTAGACCCGATCGATCTTGGCGCACACTTTAGTATAAGAGTCATTCTAGCGGTGTGAACAGTAAGTATATTCAGACCGATTTCTACAGAGCTAAGGAACGGGCAGTAGATTCGAAGTATACCTAGCTACTGGAATAAACAGCGTTTCTCTGGACTCGTAATTAATGGAGGAGTCCTTCTTGATCATACTCGTCAGCGGATCTTCAGCATTCTTCGCATCGGGATGTTTTTCGTAGGTTGAATGAACGATCATTCTGCCCAGATAGTCACCTTCCCCTTGATAATATTTTACGCTGTTCTCCAAGATCGTGATCATTTTGGTAAACCCTCCAACTCAGAGGCATTGCTCTGCTCCCACGGATGTGTCTGTTCCACTGAGCGGATGAGGATTTCATGAGCTGCACTACGAGGTGCAATATGGAATTTCCATGGAACTGGGTGGCTGATAACTCCCGGCTTGAAATTCGGCTGAACATCGACTTCTTTCCGCTCTTGGACTGGTCTGATGTTGAAGACGGCAAGGGTTTGCGCAGCACTCAGATAAACTGTAGTTGCAGCCAAAAACCTCGCGGGACAGATGCGACGGCCAAACCCAAAAACAAGATCGTGCGGATCCATTTCAGGTCCTCGGCCATCCATACCAAGGAAACGCTCAGGCTTGAATATCATAGGATCATGATAAACTGCAGGATCATGCGTCATGGCCCTTTCATACAAGTCAATAGGTCGTCCAAGGCTTTGTCAAGAACTATTTTCAGACGGCATAGACACACCAGATATTTGGCATCAGCAATGAACCTTTTGGAATGGAATATCCTTCCCAGGTATCATCATCGCTTGATGCATGGGGGATACCCATGGGTGCAACCGGATGCCAGCGTAGGACCTCCTTCACCACAGCATCAATATATGGCAAGCGAGTTCGATCCCTGACCTTGGGAAGCTGGTCAGGTCCCGACACGCGATCGATCTCCTCTTGGGCCTTGCGCTGGACGTCGGGGAACAATGCCATTGCCAGGAAGAAACATTCAATGGCACACACAGTCTAAATTAAATCAATACTAGCGGAGAATATGGGCTGTGTCTCATCTTACTGTGTCAGCCCCTCCGGTATAGAGTGACGCGGCGGTCCACTTTGCGATCAACTCGTCCTCTGAGCCGGGAAGGGGATAGCCTGCTGTTTTGAACAAGTTCGAGAGATAGGATGGCACGTACCGGCCACCTTCCATCTTCTGCTTTACAAACGCATATGGCTTGTCCGCAACAGTCTCAAGGTTCTTCTTCCATACCTGCGCTTTTCGCTTAAAGCCAGCCCCAGGAACCCATGAAGGGACATATTTCACTGCTCCCAGTCAATCTTCGCCCAATTGTCGAAAAGGAAAGGGTGAAACGTACACGCTGGAATCATGTCAACCAACCAAGCCCCGGGTGTTCCAGCCTTGGAAAAATGATCCAAAGCCAGGTTAGAAATATGCACCAGGGGATCGCGGATATGTGCCTCAACTGTATAGCCGTATGCGATTTTAAGAATTACAGCGCCAGCTTCCCTATATACGCAGTTGTCAGAGATTGGGCTCGACACAGTCATCGAAATTGAACCCTGTACTAACGTTTGAATGTGCTCCGAGAGCTTGGTTTGATCTCCAAGCACGCGTAAGAGAAATCGATGAGCTTCGATCTCTTGGAGTGAGTTGAACTGGGCAACAGCAGACTCGGAGCCAATGTATGGGTGTAATGCTTTGCGGTAGGCACGGAACCGAGCCGAATATGGTTGCATAGCTAGAATATGCTCCCAGCCAACCCTATGAATATTAGCTGGGTGACATGGTGGTTTTGAAAGAGTCGTGGACTAACATTTCCGATGCGAATACTAAATTTGGACGGGATGAATAGATAGCAGAACGTTTGCCCAACAGTTCTAATGCTACATTTGCATCGTTGAGGATGACAATTGTCTGACCCATCACCGTAATAGAGCTAATTGGACCTGAACATCGCTCAGCAAGTTGAAGATAGAAATTCTCCTACGAATTTGGAGCCAACGGAGAGTTTTCAGTCGTACATACCATATAACTCCTTGTGTTTGAGCCAGTGCATCCAGTCCTGTGACCCTGGGGGTGGCAGATCGGCGATGTTGCCAAGTACAGGTTTAGGTCGTGGTCCCGGCGGGAGCGGGCCGAGAGGCCCTTTGCGGTTCAAGAGCATCTTGGTGACATAGAGACCTACTATCCCCAATATTAAGCCAACATAAACATTGAAAGACATCGTAGCGAGCCTTTGGAGTAGGGCTGAGGCAGACAGAGGGGAAGACAGAAGGAGGATACAATGAATGAAGATGACGCCTGTGGGCTCCTGTCACATTTGATATATATTGGACTCCGACAGAGCTCCGCTGTACGCCATATCTCGGTAGTGCATACACGCCTCCCCGCTCCCGTCACGTCTTATTGTTGGTTAAAACTCAAGGTCTCTGTGCTATTGGCCATTTTTTTCTCATAATAGTTTTTCCAAACGAATGAAAAGCGCTGTATTGCTGACGCGAAAGTAGACTAAATATCGGGGGCGGCCCCACTGATGCTGCCACGTCTGACCGTAGAGTCATCTCCATGAAATAGGAGCCCCCTATGGCTAGTTCGCTTGCGCACTGCCATGAAAGACATCTTATAGCTTCCTGGCACTTCTGAGTTTGCAATATCTGAAATTCCTTACCTAGAATGAACAGAGTACCATGATATGAGTGGGAGCTTTGGTTTCTTCAAACCTTCTAATTTCGAAAGAAACATCAACGTTAAAAGTTATATTGGTGGGGCGTACACTCAATTTCATGAACTTGGAGATGTAAACGTTTGATAGATCTTCCTTGCTGGCTACCCTCATGGACATCAGTGAATTTAGATGAAACTACGGCGTCATTTGGAGGCCCAAGGGCAACATCTCAGCTTACGCCCTGCTTCCAGCGACAACCGGAAGTACAAGGAACGAGTCATGCTTCCCTTTACTGTGTGGGATTCTGGCTACTCGCATTCTGTACAACTTTTAGCACCTTTCCTGATTCTTTGGATTTACTCTCCTGGCATAACTTCTATCAATTTTGGTCTCTAGAGTACCTTTTAAGGAATTGCAGGTTCGTGGTCTTCGGGATCTTATAAAAAGAGGGGATGACAGGGAGTGCCGGGTATTTTGGTCTGCGGACGAAGATTAGCCGACATGATATTCTATAACGACGTTTCAGGATCGAAGATGTAGACAATCTAGCTAGCAAGCTATATTCGGGTATCTGCCTGCGATACTTGGATACAGAAATACCGATTACGGATAAGAATTCAAAATATAGTAGTGGTCTTCATGACTGCGTTCACCTGCGACTCAGATCACAACAGTATGTAAATACTGTAGGTATTTCATTTGATAGAGGTTGGGGTTTTGAATAAGCGGTCGTGACGCAACTCGATCTTCGGTGGTTTTACAGCCGGCCTTACAATCTATGAGAAATGTATAGATACTCTCAGAGGTGGCAAAATTTTGCGAATACATGTGTTCCCGTGAACGAATGACGTCAGAGCTAAGGGTTGCTCAATAGCGTGAGTAATATGCATATTTTCCCTAATGATATGGAGGGTACTAAATTATGCTGCTGTGTTTGGGTCCGTAGTTAACTCCCAGAGCAATAAATATCGATGACGCGCTCACTCGCGATAATCCAAACTGTCGGAAAATAATCTTAGTCAATGGCATTTGTATTGGCTTCCACAGTGAAGGTCATCCGTGGAATGACGACAGTTCCATTGTTTTTCTTTGCACGTTATAAGAACGGCGCTCCTCCAACGTTTTGTCATCCAACGTTCTATATCGCAAACACTCTCAGCGACAATACACAACACAAGTCAAAATTCATTTCCCAAGGAGAGAAAGCATGCCCGAAGGTAAGCAATATTCCTAGAAAAACCTATTTCCAAGCTAATATCACTACTAGAACCGAAACACCGCAAGGGAAGTTTCGGTGGCTTCGTGGACAAAGTGCTCCACCGTGACCATCACGAAGACAAGGACCAAGCCCATCAAGCCAAGGATGAGCATGACCCTGACCAGGAGCGACATGAAGACCAACCCCAGAAAGAGGGTGAGATGGATAGGGTCAAGGACTATGTCAAGAAGGATCAGGACATGGAGGCGGAGGGACGGACTTACGGAGATTTGATGTGATTTCTGTGCAAAGAAATTGAAATGTATTATTAGTTCTGTGTTGAGATTTAATTTTACTCATCTCTACTCGCGTATTCATTACAAACAGACTATGAAGTATGGAGCGATAGATGCGTTGTAATACCCCAGAGGCTAGACTGCGGAGCCAACCCCGCATTTACCCCGGATTCTGGTGTTAGGCCTGGAACAGTTTCTACTGTAGAGGGTGAAATAATGTAATCATGATAGCCGGCTTGATTCGAGCAGTCTGGATTCGGCTGCAAGAAATTCCTTTGTGAAAGTACTCACATCCCATCAAATGTGACGCAACTCAAACCCGATGTCTGCCAAGAAAACTCAGACTTAGTGCGGTGCCCAAAGCTCCGCTCGACAACTCGACAGCAAGAGAAAAGGAAGATATTCTGTGCTTGTCTCTGGGATGCGAGACCCAATTGCCCCCGCACAAGCGGACAATAGGCCGAGCCCCTGGTCTCGGCTGATGACCGTAGTGGGGAAGGAGAGCCCGAGTGTATATCGCACTGTTGCTTAAGCTTTACGCTTAATATCTTACTTCCTTGAAGCCGGCAGTGGAAATGCGGGGAAATAAGTCTCTGTTGTGATGATTCGTTGGATAAGGTATTCATGGGGTCGAGATGGACAGGAATGGCGGGATATTGCCTGTTCAATGCAATCCTGAGTGGTTAATTGTTATGGCCAAGACATAGATACAAATGTTGAGTACTGCTCGTCCGGGTACATGATCGACATATACCTCGGTTGTGCGAGAATATAAAGAGACTGCGCCGTGGGATGGATGTAGCAGGTATTACCTGCGAAAACAACTCTGCATCATGAGGAACCATATGGCAGCCGGGTGGTTTTACTCACCTAGCCAAGTCATCGGGTACTTTGCAACGCGAGTGTCAAGTCTGAGTCCACCAAAGGTCAGCTCACATACAGCGACCCTCAAACTTGGTCTTTGGTCGGATTGCTGACCAGTCTCCACAGAACAAGCTGAGAAACCCGTACGCCATCCTGAGGGAATTGACATCCCATCAATGGCTCATGTTTGCGGCTGGCTTTCTCGGCTGGACATGGGATTCATTCGACTTCTTCACGGTGTCTATGACAATCACTGAAATATCCGAGACGTTTGGTGTTTCGTATTCGGACGTTTCATGGGTAGGTCTCCTCGGTCATGTATACATGTACTTGCAACACTTCTAACATACACAAGGGTATGACAGTAACACTTATGCTGCGGTCGGTTGGGGCTATCATCTTCGGAGTCCTGGCGGATAGATATGGACGGAAATGGCCAATGATCATCAACCTGTTCCTGTTCATCATACTCGAGCTGTGTTCTGGGTTTTGTCAGACACTTCCCCAGTTCTTAGGGGTGCGTGCTCTCTATGGTATCGCGATGGGAGGTATGCTTTCAATCCAGTGATTTTTTGACTGGTATATTGACCCTCTTCAGGGCTGTTCGGTCCAGCAGCAGCCACCGCTCTAGAAGACCTTCCATATGAAGCTCGCGGCTTACTCTCCGGACTGTTCGAGATGGGCTATGCAACAGGGTATCTCCTTGCGGCGGCTTTCTATCGCGCCCTTGTGCCGACAACAACTCACGGTTGGAGAAGTCTGTTCTGGTTCGGCGCGGGCCCACCAGTGCTCATCATCGCGTTTCGTTGGTGCTTACCAGAGACAAACCACTTCCAAGTCATGAAAGCAGAGCGCGAGGCACGAGCCAATGCAGCGAGTGGCGATGGTACCCACGCGATGGGCTTGCGCGTGTTTCTCCGTGATGCTGGACGGGCTCTTCGTGACAACTGGGTACTGTTCATCTACCTGATTGTGTTGATGACAGGCTTCAACTCATGTTCCCATGGTAGCCAGGACTTCTATCCGACCTTCCTGAAGGATCAGGTTGGGATGGATGCGACTCAAACCACAGTCATCACGGTTGTAGGCCAGATCGGTGCTTTGATCGGTGGCTGCACAATTGGCTATATCAGCACTTTCTTTGGCCGACGCCTGACCATGCTTGTGACATGTGTTCTCGGAGGCGCCATTATCCCGGCGTACATCTTGCCTCGAAACATGTCGTTGGCCGCTTGTGCTTTCTTCGAGCAGTTCTTTGTTGGTGGCGTCTGGGGCCCGATGCCAATTCATCTCCTCGAGCTCTCCCCCATTGCACTCAGATCTCTAATGGTTGGGCTGACCTACCAGCTGGGTAACCTTGGATCTTCCGCCTCGGCAACGATCCAGTCTATCATTGGCGAGCGGTTTCCGTTACCGCCTGGGTTAAATGGAAAGAAACGGTTCAACTATGGCAAGGTTATTGCCATCTTCATGGGTGCAGTCTGGGCATTCATTTTGTTTTTCCTCTTCTGGGGACCTGAGATGTCGCAGGAGGAGCGGGACGAAGAGGCCGAGGCTGCTCTGCATCTGGAGACATTGCGCGCGCAAGGCGTGAGTTTGGCGGAGATTGGACAGCAGCAGTTCCGGAAACAAGGAGATCCAAGCGAGCATGAAGAAAAGCCTCAGACAGAGCACATTGTGTAGGAAAAAGATGGGAAGTTGAAGTTGTAGTGTACTCCGTCTATAGTTGAGAAATGATGAATGCCAAGAATGCGAAACCCCGCGGCCCCACGATTCACCGGAGATTCTCTTCGGGTCGTACGGGAGTCGGAGCTGAACTCGTGGATTTCTACTTCTTTTCTTCTCTTCTTCCCTTTTGTATTCTGTCCATATCTCTCGCACCATGACGCAAGTATCTGTGCAAGGCGCCCCCCGCTATCTGACCGGCGACAAGGCCGGTCTCAAGGAATTCCTGGACAAGTTCGACGTAAGTCCCCGATATGATCGCGCTGGGTGGTTGTAGAGAGCCAATTGCTGACCGGATGTCTTGCAGGTATTCCTCTTCGACTGCGATGGTCAGTATCTCACGTACTGCGAATCTCGGCTTTCCCTCCGACGATCCCCGCGAGTCCCGCATTGAAACAACAGCTGAGAGGAAAGTGATATAGGAGTGCTATGGTCTGGTGACCACCTATTCCCTGGGACAGTGGAGACATTAGAGCTTCTCCGGAAGAATGGTACGCATAAACCATGGAGCGAATGCTAGTAGAAGCTAATCCTCCGCACAGGAAAGCAAGTCGTTTTCGTGACGAACAACAGCACCAAGTCCCGCGCAGACTACCGCAAGAAGCTGGAGGGCCTCGGTATACCCAGCACAGTCGTCAGTCAACCTCCAGGTCCAAGATTGAACCCCAATGACTCACACCAAGCAGGAAGAAATCTTCTCCTCGTCATACAGCTCCTCAATATACATCTCGCGCATTCTCAAACTCCCCGAAAACAAGCGCAAGGTCTACGTGATTGGCGAAACAGGCATCGAACAAGAACTTCAATCAGAGAATGTCCCCTTTATCGGCGGAACAGACCCAGCCTACCGTCGCGACGTCACACCAGAAGACTACAAGAAGATCGCCGCAGGCGATGAATCAATCCTAGACCCAGAGGTCGGAGTCGTCCTGGTCGGTCTGGACTTCCACATGAACTACCTCAAGATCGCACTGGCATACCACTACATCAAGCGCGGCGCCGTCTTCCTCGCAACCAACATCGACTCCACACTGCCCAACTCCGGGACTCTGTTCCCAGGTGCTGGATCGATGAGTGCGCCGCTCATTATGATGCTAAATAAGGAGCCTGTGGCGCTTGGAAAGCCTAGTCAGGCGATGATGGATGCTATTGAGGGCAAGTTCCAATTTGATCGTAGCCGTGCTTGCATGGTTGGTGATCGGGCTAATACTGATATTCGCTTTGGGCTTGAGGGAAAGCTTGGTGGCACGCTCGGTGTGCTGACTGGTGTTTCTTCTAAGGAGGACTTTGTTTCTGGGGATTCCAAGCCTCATGTCTATTTGGATAAGCTTTCTGATCTGCTTGAGTCTGAGTAGACGGTTAGAGTATATTTGTTTGGGTTTGATAGATGTCAGTTTTAGATATATACGCGCGATTCAATGTATTAGCCAACTACAAATGTGTTGCTTTAAAAAAGTCCCTCTTTGCTGTATACTTCTAACGGTGTGCTAGCTAGATGATGTCTGTATAAACTGCAGGAAGTTTTATGTATGGTATTCTTTTCCCGGGCATATACTTAACATATCAAGGACACAATTCTATACAATGTAAGCGCTGCAGTCTGCATTTTAGTTTACTCCATTATTATCCCAAACCGTCGCCAAGTATAAATATTCTGCTGCAGCCAGATGCGGTTTAATAAGAAGCTAAATATAACCTTAGTTAAGCCAATCTGCGCGATGATGCCAAAGGCTGAGACAGAGACCAACAACTGGAAGAATATGAAACCACTCCAAGCGACTGCCAATTGTAGGTCAGGAACCCTGCGAGAGATGTCGCAAGCAAAGGAATAAGGTGATAAACCCCCAGCAGTATAAAAAAGCAGCCTAGCTGAACACAAACAGTGCGATGAAATGAAAGTGAAACCAACATGCTCACGATGTACAGACCTGAAAATAGCATGCGTCTGCAATGAAGTCAAGCGCTATAAATTCCAAGAACCAACTGCCAGCACTCAAACAAGCAACAATACACAGGGAAGTCCATTATAGTGGCTTCACTGATAGACACAACCCAAGTCGGTCTCTCACAAGCAGAGCCCTCCTACCTAAACTTCATCCGCCAAAACGCCTCCAAACAAGTTGCCAGCTATTTCAGTCGCGCATTCTGGGACCAAATGGTCCACCAAGTCGGCGAGTCACAGCCTGCAGTTCGCAATGCGGAAATCGGAGTTGGTTTCATGCACTGGAACTACGAGATCCGGGAACTCGGCCGTGAGAATCGGTCATTGCCACTGCAACAGTGTAGCAAAGCTTTCGGTCATCTACAGAAGACACTCTCGGGCAGCTTATCTAGCAGCACGCAGATAGAGACAGTACTATGCTCTTGTATTGTCCTGGCGGCGTCGTCCATGATACAAGGCGATGCCCGAGCAACGAGTTGCCACCTCGGACCTGAATGAAGGCTTCTGGATCAATGGCAGAATGTGGGCTCGCTTGCTACAGGCGTATAGCGGAGTAAATTGCGTTTATCTTCTTTAGTGGATGGCGATATGTATCCTGATTTGACTCTTCCTGATGTGATGGCTTCTCAGTTTCCAGTTGTCGAGTCTTTGGCTACTACTGAGGAAACTGCGGGTTCGGCTGTGGGTATTGGATGGTTGGCTTTGCGAATTAGATCGAGACTAGACCTGAGGCTGGGGATATCACGAAGCTGTGACGCTATTGGGGAAGCTTCAGGCTTGGAAGAATTTGATTCTGGAGTCAAATAAGGTTCATGGAGATGTGGCTCGGGCAGAGAAGATGATCCCGTTTTTGGATATCTGGAGTGGAGTGCTTTTGATCAGGATTTCGACGGATGAGAAGCTTGAGGAATGGAGGCAACAAGAAAAGGCACACTTACCACACCCGCCTCTTTGAATGGTATTACTCTTGATTGCCACCATATGGACCTGTTTTCTTTTGTGGCTCATAATTCAATGTATATAACTAAACGGAGGAACAGATATCGGAAGGGTATCATGATCAATCCATTTTAACAAGAAACTAAATGCTAGAAACTTCATATGCAACGCCTCAAACATGGGAACCATCCCGATTCCGAACGCCATCTATTCACCCAGTCCAGGCTCGAGAATCGCAGGATCAATCAATATAATCCGTATCCGCAGACCTAAACTGGCTTTTTGCCGGGTCAATTTCCACTCAGGATACCGGAAATCCGCAATGCCAGGTCCAACATGGACAAGTGCTCGTCAGATCCGTCGACTAAGCGCTTATCCATCTCGGAGAAGAGCATGACGATCTTATTCTTTTGGATATCGGGGATTGCTTCGCTGAAGACAACACGCCGGTAGAGCTGTAACAAGTCAGTTGATATCACCCATCCCAGGGAGAGAAGCACAAACCTGACTAAGAAGCTGAGTAGCGCTCCACCCATCAGCAACAATATCCGTAACAACACGAGAAACAGCCTCGTAAGACGAAACACCCTTCTTAGGCTCCATAGCTTGCACGAGGGAATCAAGAATGCCCTCAGGCACAACACCAGCAATCTCCTCAATACTCCGCACAGTAATAACGCGACTCTCACTCCCAGCATCAGTCATCTCAGCATCATCATCGCCATCCTTACCGGCAGCAGGTTTAGTAGCACCCACCAACCGCGCCGCACTCTGCAAATAAGTAATAGCACGACGCAAATCACCCTCACCACACCGAATAAGCGTATCAACAACCCCATCATCAAGTGTCAGTCCCTCAGCCTCAGCAATGCTCGCAATCCGCGACCCAGCCGCACTATTATCCAGCATCTTGAAGCGGAACTTACTGCACCGACTAGCAAGTGGCTCAATAATGCGCGTGACATAGTTGCACACCAGACAGAAACGCGTAATGCGACTGTACTGCTCCATCGTGCGGCGCAGTGCAGACTGCGCATCTTGTGTCATGCTATCGGCTTCGTCCAGGATGATGATTTTGAAGGGTGGGCATGGGTATTGGGCGCGGTAGGCGGCGTCTAGGCCTGTTGGTTGGGAGAGTTGGGCTCGGGCGAAGTTCTTTACTTTGTCGCGGACGATGGCGATGCCGCGCTCGTCGGAGGCGTTCAGTTCCAAGATGCGGGAGCGGTAAAGGGCGGGTCCGAAGAGGGATTTGGCTAGGGCGAGGATAGTAGATGTTTTTCCTGTTCCTGGGGGTCCGTAGAAGAGCATGTGGGGGAGCTTGGGATTGTCAGTTTATCGATGTGGTGGTTTGGGGTAATGTTGGGAACGGACGTTGGAAGCTTGCAGGGTGCGCTGGAGGACTTTTGTTGTGTGGTCTTGCGCGGCGACATCGTCTAGGGTCTTGGGCCGACTGGGAGATGTGAGTGTGCTGGCCTAAAAGCTTTGGATAGAGCATTGGCGTACTATTTCTCAACCCATGGCTGGAGACGAGTCGAGTCTTCCTTGTTGTCGCCAGCCTTGGCCTTGGAGCTGCTGGATGCTGCAACGGCAGCGGCACGGGCCTTATTATTGAAGAATGAGGAAGCCATTATTATTAGAAGGCCCGGACTAGAAGGCGAGAGTGGTTCCGAAGCTGGTCGATGTGTTAAAGATCTCGCCCGACGCCCTCCACAACCAAGACGCGTCTCCACGTGACACGCGCAGCACTTAAGTACATTGACCAATCAGAGTGGCCCAATATACTTCAGCTCAACAGGGCTCGAACAATACATTTCTTTACTAGTGTTGAGCACATCAGGAAGACTGAAACCTTGTGGTAGCATGGTGCATCATTAATGTATTGATCATGTTCTATAGCTCATCCCGCACCGGTTCATCCTCATACATCCTCTTCTTCGTATTCCGAGGAAGTGCTTCTTGCCTTTCCCTCTCCTCGAGGGTTATATCATCAATTCCGCCTTTCTCTTTGGCTTCTTCAACAATACGACCGATCTCATCAATCACGCGGTCACTGTCAACTGGTACTGACGGTTCTTCCCATGCAGCAGTGGATGTCACAGTGCCTCCCACAACAGCCGTAGCTGTCTCATGAATAACGGACGAGATATCACCAGAAAGTGAATCGGTAGATGACTGCACTGCTGTGCTAGACAATCCAGCCACACCTAGAGCTGCAAGCACAACACGAGCAATGAGCTTCAAGGGGAGCCATAGGAGCCACCAAAGAGGCCCATATAGGACACGTCGGAAGATAAGCCATGCGATAGTTCCAACAAGAACATAAAATGCAGTCTCAAGATACCAGGTATCGGATTTTTGGGAGCGAAGAAGAGAATTAGCAAGGCTGCGGGATGACGAGAGAAGAGTATCGAGACCGCTGTAGGACTCGGACAGAGAGTTGATAGCAACTGTAGATTGTTCTATCCAAACTTGTTAGCAGTCAATTAAGTTGAATGTAGCCAAGAGCTTACCAAGGGTTTCCTGAGCAAATGCACTGCGAGAAAGCTCCGCCTGCATAAGTTGATGAGTTCTGCGCAGAGCAGATGTCACATCATTCGAAGCATTGAGAACAAGATCATCTTGCGTGAATCTTTCAGTCGTCTGCTTTTTCTCAGAAGTCGTGGACCGCGATAGCAGCAACTCTCTCTCTTTCCGCTTAGCGAGCTCTGCATTCCGCTTCGCTTGCAACTGTGCATTTCGGAAGTCGCCTCGCGTTCTGAACAAAAGTTAGCAAATTGTATCTCAAGCAATAGCAGCGGTGCAGCAGAGAGTAATCCCCAACATGTGCAAGCTGTCCCAGATCAGGCCAGTATAACCTACCTCTTAAGCTCCTCAGCCAACCGCCCCGCCATGGCAGCAACCCGCTCCCTTTCAGCATCCTTCTCGCCCTGAGAGACCGAAGCCTTCCGCCTGCTATCGGTGCCAGTTTCCAGTGCCTCAACATCAACCCGCAATAACTCCAACTCCTGCTCGGCATCCTTCAACCGAGAGTGTATCTCGCTCCCAAGCTCGAGGCGCGCCTCATCTCCCTGTCCAATGGAAGTCGTAAAATCGCGTAATCGGTTAACAAGAGGTTGGATCTGGCCTAGGGCAGTGGAGAGCTCTTTCAGGCGGCCTTGGAGACCTATTGTGGAGGACATGTTGGGATACGAGTGGTATGGTGCTCCGTCGGTTTAACGCATTCGAGTGTCGCCAGCTGTGGGTGTCGCGGAGATTCCTGGATAAAATTTACCACGGGGGAATGTACCATCAAGTATAAAAAGGTAACGAGGTCCGTAAGATGTGTCAAGTTGTATGTCGAAGTTGCCATGTTGACGGGCGTCATTCGGTTTACTGTGTTTGCATTCGGAGCAAACATGCCCCATTTCTCAACCGCAATCCGCATCAGAGAGAGACCTTCAATTGATGCGAAGTTGCAATTGACCACCGCGCCTTTCCTGTCAGACCTGTCGCAAACTTATCAGACCTGATTCTATTTTCCTCCTTACAACAACCACATCAGATACCCCCTCTCCAACGGCTGCGAGGCTCAATCCAGAAAAGAAACCACCGTTAAAAAACTTCCCGAGTCAATCCCGACTCCCTCCATCCAGGTACATTATTACAATCAAATCTAAACCAACATATCTTTGGTTCACATGACATTCAAATAACTAATGTCCTTAACAGAAACACCCTCTCCCCTCAAACCAACCACCAACACCGCCAAAATGACCATCCCAATCAGCACAATAACCACCTTCCGCACGGCGTACAACCCCTTCTCTCGCGCCTCAAGACCCTGCCGCCTCTTCCTAGGCATGCTGCGCACACCAAACACAATCCCAACAAGCAGCCCCACCCATATCGACATCCAGGTCAAGCAATTGCCGCGTGATTCGACGCAGAGCCCGACTATGACTATCGGATTTAAGGGTGGGAAGGAGCTTACACTTGATGTTGGTAAGCGTGGGTTGAAGATTGGAGATGTCATTGAGGAGGTCTCTCGTGTTGGTCGTGCTTTGCAGCGTGAGGCTAGTTTGAAGGGGTGATTTTTTTGTTTTCGTTTAGGTGATATAACTTATGGGTGTTTTGTCAGCTGTGCATTTGTATTGTATTATATTATATTATATTATATCTATTTCCATTTTGTGAGGATTTCTTTAATATGCTTACTAGTATAGAGACACTTGTATAGAACGGACTATGGTTGATATCTGTCTCGGGCACGAGGTTGGACACAATCGTTGGTTGACTTGCTGCCAACATGTTGAGACATGCTTGACATTTAAGCTATTCACATTCAATATAAGCCCCGCCTAGAGGCGGTTACGCTAACATTTTGATTTTGGTATTCGCAAAAAGACATTTACACAGCAGCACCGGAGATGAAGAACCACTTGTCAATGCTGCCGTCAATGGGAGCAGGAGCAAGGTTCTCACCACGGGGGATAGCAGCGAGCTGGGACTGGTCGACACGGTCGGCGGAGCCCTCGACCTGGGAGTTGGCGCTAGTATATATTAGTATAAGATCCCCAATGGAACGTTGAATATAAACTTACAGGCTGATCTCGCCACGGGGAGCCTTGCCGGAGATGAGCTTCTCCCAGGCATCGGAGCACTCGCGGATGACATCCTCGGCGTACTTCTTGTTCTTGCACTCGCCGGAGAAGGCGAACTGGTTCTCGGGCTTTCCGTCGGGGATCTTGTAGATGCGGAACCACTCGTTGGTGGCGCGCAGGAGACCGGGGAGGTGACGCTCAACATCCTCAATGTCGTTGAGCTTGGGGGCAAGAGGGTCGTTGACGTCGATGACGATGATCTTCCAGTCGGTCTCCTCCTCGTCGATCAGGGCCATGACACCGAGGACCTTGACCTGCTTGACCTGGCCAGGGTAGCCGACAAGCTCACCGATCTCGCACACGTCGAGAGGGTCGTTGTCACCCTTGGCCTTGGTCTCGGGGTGGACGGAGTTGGGGTCTTCCCAGGTCTAATTCAAAATCTGTTAGTTTACCCCTCCTCCTGCATGGTCACGAGGGCACACCTACGCGGGGGAAGGCACCGTAGTTCCAAAGGTAACCCTTGTGGGGGAAACAGTTGCGGACGAAACGGAGCTTGCCCTTCTTGGTGTCCTGCTTGATGGGGTTCAGGAAGTCATCTTTGGAGATCTGTACGTTCCGGGTGACGCAATTAGCTCATGGGGTTCAATTGACGTTGTGGGTGAGGTCTCCTACCTCCTGCTTGGCGTTGGTCCAGCGGGGGATCTCGACGACCATGTTAAGGATGGTCTGCTGCTCATTGGCGTAGAGGGGAATGTCGTGGAAGGGCGAGACGGGGACGCCATCCTTCTCGACGAACACACGGTGCTCGAGGGTGTAGGGCTGGGCGATCTTGCGGACGGTGTAAGACATTTTGGGAGGTGACGAAAAGTGTCTAGATATTTGGGCCGCACGGGAAATGGGGGAATAAAAGGAAGAAAAGGAGGGAGGGGCAGTGGAAGTGGGGGGAGCCAACGTTGCTGATGTGCGCCAAACACGGCGGGAGGCGGTGGAGGTAGGAAATCCCAGTCGGGCCAAAGGACGAGTCATTGGCTGCAGAAGATGAGTTAATTGTGTATTACGCGGAACATACACAACCTGGACAACCTTGGAAAGTGATGTGTTCCAGTTCTGTTGGTTTACCCCTGTCGGAGGTTGATATTTTTTTTGTGGTTCCGAGATTCGGCATCGATAGTGTCTCCGAGCTTGACATCCCGACTGTGTCACATACATCCACGTATACGTATATGCCCAGGTGTACATTTACATGTTTAAGGTCACTTATGACATAGATTTGATCTGCTTGACAGTATGCACTCTGCAAGTACACGATACCCCAGACTGCGAGAGTGCCGATATCGGCATATTATACGCGGCCTACATTAAATGTCCTTCCAGTTGTATGCTTTATATATAGTTCTCTACTCTAATTAACGTTTTAAGTTAGCTCTGACGGAACACACATTTAGTTAGGTATTGAGGTACAGTCAAATTCACGATGTCGTGATCCTTGGCAGGGAATATTGTCTGTTGATTGGCGCCGACTCTCGGAAAAAGACCGGACCAGCGCAACCTGTAATAATACCTGAAATCTACTGACGATGGGCCACGTGACTCGCACGTGATAGAACAGGTGAAGTGAAAATAGATTGTCACTATCTCCACGTGATATCAATCCAGTCGGGGAACTAAGAAAAAAAAAAGACTCACCCTCAACCCCGCAGCATGCTATGATCAGACTCCTCCGCACAATGACCAACGCAATCCCCCCGGCCACAGTGGCCCGCGTGCCCATCCCTGCCAACGGCGTCGACTACCGCAACAAGATCGTCCTAGCACCTATGGTGCGCTCCGGCGAACTCCCCTCGCGCCTCCTCGCCCTAAAATACGGCGCAGACCTAGTCTGGGGTCCAGAGACAATCGACCGCTCCCTAATCGGAGCCGAGAGACGCATCAACCCTCGCAACGGGACGATCGAATTCACACGCATGCCATCAAACGGTGGCCGCCCAGACAAACCAACCAAAGCCTCAATAATCTACCGCATCGACCGAGCCCGCGAATCCGGTCGCCTAATCTTCCAAATGGGAACCGCAAACCCAGACCTAGCCGTCCAAGCTGCCCGCGTTGTGGCTGCTGACGTAGACGGAATAGACGTCAACTCGGGCTGTCCCAAACCATTCAGCACATCCGGCGGCATGGGCGCCGCCCTCCTCCGCACGCCGGACCTCCTCGTCTCGATCCTCGAAGCCCTCGTCAAGGAAGTAGGCGAGCCCTTCAAAATCGGCATCTCAGTTAAAATTCGCATCCTCTCCGAACCTGACGCAACCCGCGCTCTCGTCTCCCGTCTCGTTAGAACTGGCATCACAGGTCTGACCGTCCACTGCCGTACAACACCAATGCGACCCCGCGAGCGCGCAATCCGCGATCAACTCCGCATGATAGCGGAAATCTGCCACGAAGCTGGCGTGGCATGTATCATGAATGGCGACGTCACGTCGCGCGATGAGGGACTCGCGCTTATGACAGAGTATGGCGTTGACGGAGCGATGATTGCTACATCAGCCGAGACGAACTCGTCTTGTTTCCGTGCTGAGGCGGATGGCGGTGCTGCGCCCTGGAGAGAGGTCGTCTATGAGTATCTCAAGTTCTGTTTGGAGGTTGAGAACCGGCTTGGGAATACGAAGTATCTCATGAATATGTTGATTCCTGGGAAGAATAAGGAGTTCAAGGAGGCTAAGCAGTGCAAGACTTATCTGGATATCTGTCGGAATTTGGGTTTCGATGATTTGGTTCCGGCTGCTATGCGTGTTGATGAGATTTTGGATCTCTCGCAGAAGTGGGAGTCTGTGCCCGCCTCTGCCCCTGCCTCTGCGCATGTAAATGCTGAGGCCCCTGAGGGGAAGTCCAAGGCGGTGCAACATGCTATGGAGTCGGAGGCTGCTCGCGCTGCTGGTGGTGGTGCTGCTCGGTCAAAGGCTGCCCCGGCTATGCCTAATGGCTGCGGTCCTATTCGTAGGACTTCTGTGCCAGAGCAAAAGGTCAAGGTTGATGCTGCGCAGCCGGCTCCGGATGCCACTGTTCCTCCGGTGGAGGCTCAGACTCAGGCTCAGAGTCAGCCTCAGGTGGCCGTTTAACCGTGCTCTATATTCTTCTTATTCACTCTAATCCCTCAGCACGGTCTCGGTCAACATGCATAGCTACCGGTTTTGATTTTCTTTCTTTCCTGTCTGCATCCAAGGTGTTCTTCCTTCCATCCCTTTGTCATGTTCATATAGATTCCCCACTTGACAAAATACACAAACATGCCTCTGTTGGACATGTTCATGTTCATGTTCATTCTCAACACCATATTCAAGCCCTTCTACCTCTACTGTATATCACTACAATCTCCATCTTTCATCAACCTAGTTCTAACCAAGTTTTTGTACAAAGAAGCAAGGTTACGGCTGAAAGGCAGTAAATTCCTGACCGTAATGCACAGATACAGAATAAGAATATGCACCGAATCTTCTCACAAATCACAAATCAAGCCACCCAAAAACACCATGTTCTAACTGATGTAATGCCATACTTTCAATATGTCAAGAATTCACCTTGCAAAAAAGACATGTCCTCACCAC